TGGTAGATGTGGTGCTGTTTGACCGCGCAGTTGAAGCAGCCGAAAGCTCCAATAGCCAACCAGTTGCATGAATACCACAAGACGGATCATTGCAAGCAGGTATGACATGATAACTCGAACCATTTATGTTGTGGGCAATCAGAACTGTCGGCACTGAACTGAGCACGGCACCGAAATGAGCACACCTGCTACAGTACCTATAGCATCGTGCATTACTTATGACTCTAATGTGACATCATTTGCTCACAAAGGGCCAGGTTCGGCTTGGTCAGCAGCTGCTTGACCTGTGCCGACGAGCATGGCGTAAGCAGCTGTCATTTGGAACAAAAGACAACATCTGGTTCACTGGCTTTTGCAGCTGTTTTCTGTTCGTAAGTGCTTCGTACAGAGGAGATTATGACCCTTGCTGACGTTAATAGGCAGCTGTAAAATTCGTCGGAGGGGTCCCAAACAGCAACAACAGCGACGTTTGCGCTCGCGTGCGCCAGACGGGTCGCCGCTGACTCAATGTCATGAATAAACTACGCTGATTCCACACCAAGCCGCATGCGTCATACAAGGCGCGCGGACAGTTTCCGCTGATCGATGTAGGGCGCGAATGCCGAAGACCGCACTTACATAATGAAATCTGCTTCTGTTAGCAGCACGTATTTTGAGCTGAAAACGACCGTGGTATCGCCCGTTACGGTACGATGTACACCTCCTGCGTATTCATGACATTCATTCATGACATGACGTATTCATGATTGACATGAAATGGCTACTTTATCGCGAAACGCAGCCGTTAATGGACGACTAAACAAATGTCTTTCTATGAACGTGAGGTCAGTAGCGTAGGCTGGCGTGTGGCTGGCAAGGCAAAGTCGGTTTTGGGTGGGGTGGGAGGGGGGGATGGGGATAGAGGTGATTGTTCGTACCTCGCGATAAACTACAATTGTTTGAACAACAGCTGGTGCCACTCGTAACTCAGTGGAAAGAAGAACCACGCATGACGGGGCGGCAAATGCATGTTTGAACTCGCTGCTCCTGGCTAAACGCAGACGTAGTCTGTGTGATGGCGTGATATTGAGGTCGCTGTCAACATAGCATGCCTGGACAGAATAATATAATGTTCTGCACCCTCAGCGCGATTTATTTTTTACCATGCGTCCCGCCTGGCGGTCCAAAACAGAAGACGAAAGCTGGCGGTGGACAGCACGCGAAGGCCAATCAAAACACCTGGTTACGTTGCGCGCCGCGTCCGTCGCCAAGGAGCTGTGATTCGGCGGGGCGGACGGTCCCGCCCCCGCCTTTCTGTACGGGTTTTTGACGGCACCGGGCGGCCCCGCGACCGCCACTCTCGGGTGCAGGTGTCGCCGGGGGCTATCGAGCGTGGCTGCCGGGCTTTGTCGGCAGGTGGCGCCGCGCCGGCCGCTGGTGGCGTAGCTGACCGGCTGGTCAGGGTCCCGCAGGCCGTCAGCAGTGGGCGGCAGTGCCCCGGGGCAACACCTGCCCGCGGGCGCCGCGAGCGACCGAGCGGGAACTGACCTGACCTGACCTGACCTTGCCTAACCTGACATGACCTGACGCTACGCGACATGACGTGGCGATCGGCCGTTTTGCTTTGATAGTGTTCTTGCGGTGAATGAACGGCCATTGGTGTGCACTGGGGCTGTGCAGGCGTGAACTCACGGTCACTCACGGATCTGTCCGGGGCGGCTCGACTCTATGACTGATGCCCCTCGCAGCCATAATAACCGTCGTCAGCACCGACAACACCACAGCTGGAGGAGGCGCTTCGTCCCCTGATAACGTCCTCGGGCATATTTGTGACGGGTTGGGCTGACACACCGCGTCCGTTGACCATCGCCTCAGGCGTGTTTGTGACGGGTTGGGCTGACACACCGCGTCCGTTCACCAGCGCCCCAGGCGTGTTTGTGACGGGTTGGGCTGACACACCGCGTCCGTGGGCCATCGCCTCGGGCGTGTTTGTGACGGGTTGGGCTGACACACCGCGTCCGTTGACCATCGCCTCAGGCGTGTTTGTGACGGGTTGGGCTGACACACCGCGTCCGTTCACCAGCGCCCCAGGCGTGTTTGTGACGGGTTGGGCTGACACACCGCGTCCGTTGGCGATCGCCCCGGGCGTGTTTGTGACGCCCGCAGCTCGGCGGCCCGATGAACGAGCCGCCGCTGACGCGCGCGGCGGAGGGTGTGGCGATTGCGGTGACGGGCCCGGCTGAGGTGACTCTGGCAGGTCACGCTGCTGATCTGACGGGTCACGGGGCTGACCTGGCGGCGTCCACCCGGCGCGCCTGCCAGCAGAATTGTGCCGCTGTGGCGAACTCACGCGGACCTGGGGAGCTATGAATTGGGGGCGTCTCATGTCGTACTGGTATCACGCCTTGGAAAATTCGTTTCGTATTTTTGTTTTAAATTTGTTCAACAATTTGTTCCGCGCAAGGCACCAGCGGCTGCCGTGCAGTAGGCAGTTCGTGCGCCTTGAGGTGTCGCATTTATGCACGCGTCTGCGCACTGTGTATGTGCAACGTTCAGCGAACGTTGCACACAAGTACGAAAGTACGCCGTGCAGATTTCACCGTCGTGGTATTTTTAAAGTTTATGTAACATGAATTGCGCAACTTGTACACTGATCGACGTAAACCGTCCGCTGGATTATACGAACCATGAATGTAATTTGCCACATCACCGCACACAGTGCTGAATGTTTCGACGGGCGGGGTGCTTGAACAAACCCATGCCTGCCGCCCTTGGCGGCTAATTAACTTCCCGTTGTGTTCGTTGATTCACGTGGTCGTTGTGTAAGCTGTGCCGTTGCGCAGAGTCGCAGTGGCTGGTGGAAGGTTTCCCGCGAGGAATTGCCGTGACGGAACAAAGAAAAGACATGAATCGTGTCCTTTGGTGTCATTTGCTGAACTCGTCAGCGCTCCGTCTGAGTGTTTCTGACGGTGCGACAGCCAACCAATTACTACAACAGCCCGATTCTTTCCCTGACGTTTAGGTACTGTCGGAATTTAATTTCTGTGCAATTTTTAATGCAACAGGACATGCACTCACGTTCATCCACGTGCCGTATTTTTGGGATGACAGACAGTGCACAGTAAACGTGGAGTTGTCATGCCAGGCCTACTGGCACATTCGGCGTCGGGATGATCCCTGTTCTCACTCCAACACCCACAAGGATGTCGTACCCTTTGCGGATTATTTCCTTAAGAAAGTAGTTCTATGTGGTGCTAGTCCATAATATTTTCCAATTAATTAATCGTATGAGGCGTTCACTGCTTCGAGTGGTGCGTCTGAGTGCTGTCGATATTAACCCGTTGCACAAAGCGACAAAGTCATAGCGGCTTCGCAGTCGTGATGGGCAGGTTTCGAGCTCGATCATCAGCCGCAGTATATTTCTCTGTCAAAGCTTTCCATACGGCGGGAGCCGCCGCGATGTCAGTTCAATCGACTGTCAGATGCATCGCTGCACAACGACGACCGAACCTCGCCGGCACAGCGTGCGGGCACACACGAAAATAGCTTGTAGCACTCGTCGCTGTGCACCTCACATCTATCGGCTGCAACCTTGACCGCCCGGCGAGTGTCAGCCAGCCCCGAGCAGGGCCGGCCTTGCCACCTCCGTGCCCGGGCCGCCGCCTGCCTGCTGGGCTAGCGGCGCCGCGTGGCGCGCGTAGCCGCACCGCTCCGTAAACAGCGGTCCGCGGACACCGCCGGTGCTGCGGCTTTGGGACGCGCGGCAACCCTGCCACGAGTCGTGCCTCCGGGAAACCGGACCGCGGAATCGGAAGCCCCAACGCTGGAGTGGTTTGCGCGGGATCCCATTTCCAGCTTTGCACTTTGTTTAAGTTATAATTTCCTCGAATTACGTTTTGGTGGCGGCCGTCTCGTACCCCGGCTAAATTCGCTACCTTGCCCTCGCTGCCGAAGAAGTCCGAAACAAGGGACGGTGAGGTCCCAGTCAGCCAAGTCGGACAGACTGGGGACCACGCGGCCGACGGTAAGGTCCCGCCCACCAGCCAGGTCGGACAGACTGGGGACCACGCAGCCGACGGTGGGGTCCCGCCCGCCAGCCAGGTCGGACAGACCGGGGATCACGCGTCCGACAGTGGGGTCCCGCCCACCGGCCAGGTCGGACAGACCGGGGATCACGCGGCCGACGGTTAGGTTCCGCCCGCCAGCCAGGCCGGACAGACCGGGGACTACGCGGCCGACGGTGAGGTCCCGCCCACAAGCCAGGTCGGAAAGACCGGGGACCACGCGGCCGACGGTGAGGTCCCGCCCACCAGCCAGGTCGGACAGACCGGGGACCACGCGGCGGACGGGACCGGTCGTCTTGACATCCTCGAAGCGCCCGGGTCGCGCTGCCATCAGACAGCAATCCACTGAACCTTATGATACACTGAGGATTACCGTTCGCGTAAAGGCGCGTGAGCGGGAGAGACCAGTTGAATTATAGGACATGCGCGCTGGTGTGCGGTGCTCTTCCCGTATACACCAGTTTGACTGGTTGTGCAACCGATGTCCTGCGCTTTACCATTGGCCACATCGGCTACTGATGCACGGCTCACGGTCGCCATCCTTGTTGAGTGCGTCGGTGCATTGCCCATGTGTCTGAGAGCTCGATTTTCCCTGCGGGAAAAGTGCCTCTGCTCAGCGTGTGCAAAAGACTTGAAGGCTTCACTTACACGAGGAGTGTCGCCCAACGAAACATGGCAAGTGGCCGGCGCCCTAGAACGCTAGGGCAGGAGGGGAGGGGGCGAGGGGTCAGCGTTGAAACCCGACACCCGTAATAACTAGCTGTGCTGGCCATTCATAATCGACTCTCTCTCGCACTGAGCCTGCGGTGTCTGGCTATCGTCTGCACCCCAAGCACTCGTGTGAGGCGACGCTGTTGCTGATGATGGCGACGGTTCCCTCTCAGACCGCACAGTGCCAGCATCTGACGTTACTCGTCCCATGCGACGACGCTACTGACTGTGCTCATCTTGTCGCAGAGCACGTGGGCAAGCCGCTAGAAGAGTACATGGCGCAGTACCCGAAGGTGAAGGTGGTGCGGGCGACCAAGAGGGAGGGCCTGATCCGCGCTCGTCTGCTCGGCGCCCGACACGCCACCGCCGACGTGCTCACCTACCTCGACAGCCACTGCGAGTGTACCGAAGGTGAGTGGACACGGTGGGGGGGGGGGGGGGGGGGGGGCCCGGCCCGGCCCGGTCACAGCCATCACGACGGTGCGCCCAGGGTGGGTGGGCACGGTGGAGGGCAGGCGGCCCGGCCCGGGCTGCACAGCCGGTGCACCCAGGGTGGGTGGGAGCCGTGGGTAGGCTGCAGTCACTGGAAGACCATGTGCTGGTCGGTGGCAAGAAAATGACTTGAAACAAATTTCGGATGGAATGACCCCATGCTAACGTAGAACACTCCTTTAAATGTGTACATATGCGGCCTCACTACTTGCAATCTGTTGATAAACATGCTGCCTAATGATCCAGTTTCTTCTGATATGAAGTGATGTGTTTGTGCTGGTACACCGTATATGTGTATATACGGACATATCGCAAAAATCCCCATCACGTCTGGTCGTAACAGTGCGGTAAATTTAAACTTTCCTTTGCCTATGTGCACATTCTACGACCTCACCGTAAATGCCTACAATACTTAGCCTAATTTTCAACAAACAGCTATGCCAACTGGCAACATCGAAATTTGTGTGTCTGTGGCAACTTATGGAGCTTATTCGCACCTAGATCACACTGATGGCATGAGGGGCAGCGTCTCTTCAGCCGCATGACACGGTCGGTGTGTCCGCCTCGTCAGCCGCATGATACGGTCGGTGTGTCCGCCTCGTCGGCCCATGACACGGTCGGTGTGTCCGTCTCGTCGGCCGCATGGCACGGTCGGTGTGTCCGCCTCGTCGGCCCATGACACGGTCGGTGTGTCCGCCTCGTCGGCCCATGACACGGTCGGTGTGTCCGCCTCGTCGGCCCATGACACGGTCGGTGTGTCCGCCTCGTCAGCCGCATGACACGGTCGGTGTGTCCGCCTCGTCAGCCGCATGACACGGTCGGTGTGTCCGCCTCGTCGGCCCATGACGCGGTCGGTGTGTCCGCCCCTCTACGCTCGCTCAGTTCGCTCGGTGCGGGTTTGGAGCGGCGGGGCTTTGTGTGCTGGCCCGCTGGCTGTGTGAAGCCCGTGGCGCGATTACCGTACATGTTGATGAGGCCGGGCACAGTGCAAGCTTAGGGTCATATGCTGGCCGTGCTCACGACAAGGGGTCCGGGTTCAGGGCTGCCCGTTACAGCTGCCGTGTTTTGTACGTAGAAACATTCAGATGTCCATACCTGGTGAGCGCCAGTAATCCATGCAAAATGTGAATGCTGATCTAAATCTGATAAACCATTGGATACCTAGCGCCGGATGATAAGCAAAAAAAAACCGCTTCAACGCACAAAAATTGCCTCGAAGCATCTTATAGCTGGGAATGCGCACTCCCGCGAAGGCAAGAAACTATTTGAATACATACCGCAACGCGTTTTATAGAAATACAATGTAAGGGGTGCCGGCAGCGTAGTGGTTACACTGCGCGTCTGGGAAACCAGAGGTACGGGGTTCGATTCCCCGCGGTGCCCGCCCTTCCCGCCAGGGTGAGAGGCAGGCGACGCCATATAGCCTCAGCAGCTCAGTGCGTCGTAAAGCCCCAATGACAGACAGAGGTACAATGTAATTCCCCTGGCATTGACCGGTCGGATGCGTCACGTTTGCCGCCTCATCTCCGATAGTATATCGACGATCTCCGCTGCAATGACCGGATGCGGCTCATTTGATCGCCGCTCGCGCCGATGCGGCGTTCCCCAGCGTGTGTCAAGTCGGTGCGATTACTGCTCCGTTGAGCCGTTGCGATGGCCATCCTCAAGCATGTCCAGCCGTCGGGTCGATACCGCTCCCCCCCGGGAGCTGGTTTTTGCCCTGGTGGTTCTCCTTTCAATCAGAGCCGTTTCTTTTCTTCGCCGCTCCCAGAGGCGGCGGGCCCGCTTTATCAAACGTCAAACTTTATTGTTTTTACGCCGGCCGAGTTTAAAGCGTTTGTTTTGGAAGCATTAGTGCGGTGGCTGCGCGTTGCCGGAGTCGGAATGGATGTAGAAGGTGCCTGGGCGCGCGTTTGTCTTGCGGGCGCCGCCGCCCGCTCCGGCGGTCCCCGGCTGCCTCGCGGGCGGAGTACATAGGCGCGGGGGGGAGGGGGGCGGCGGCGGCGGCGCGGAGGTGGGCACCATTGGGACGGACTGGTGACATCCGAGGTAACACCTGCGGAAGCCACAGGTGCTTGCTTTGTGGGAGGAGAATGGCTTATGGGCGTGCCGATGACGAGGCGAACATTGGCTTGGGCGTCGTGCAGGTGTGGTACTGATGTGGTCTATGCGATCTTGGCAGCTTTGTGATGTACGACGTTTTGAAGAGTACTTACTTGCAGCCGCTATTTCGCATCGTACGTACACGACAGGGCTGAAAGAGCTTCTCAAAGAGTGGTTGGTACAAACGGTAGTATTACATTATTTCATATCTTTATAGTATGACCCCGTTTTCGTTGCGTTGCGATCAGCCCATTGACCTGGTTTGCGGGACCTGCAAGCTGTCTGTGTCGTTCCGGTGCTTCGGCGCTGGCGTCACCGGCTCGGCGCCCGCCCGCAGGCTGGCTGGAGCCGATGCTGGACCGGATCGCCCGGAACCGGACGACGGTGGTGTGCCCCGTGATTGACGTCATCGACGACACCACGCTCGAGTACCACTACCAGAAGGCGGCCGGCACCTCGGTCGGCGGCTTCGACTGGAACCTACAGGTCAGCCGGGTGATGGGGGGGGGGGGGGGGGCAGAGGGGACGGAGGTGGGACTGTAGCGGGGCTTGGAAGGGCCGTGGAGGGCTGGGGTTAGAACTCTGCGGTTTGGTGTGTCGTGGCGAACGGTTGAGTGAATTTTGTGATGCCATAACCGCGGGCAGGTGTGAAGCTACGTGTTTGGAGCCTCGGAAGACTGTGTGATCGGTTATGAATTAACATTACTTCACGGGATAACTAAATGCTTGAGACGCCTTTTTAATAGCTTAATAGCATATTTGTGTTTACGGAGAAAGGCTTCGATCTCCTGTTTAAGGCCAACAAATGTGGTGTGTGTTAGCCAGCGAAAGAGTTAGGCAAAGCAGGTTTAGTAAAAACGGTAGCTTTCAAATAATTAAGGTTTGACGGTTATCAGCTGTATCCGGAGCTCCATTATATATATATATATATATATATATATATATATATATATATATATATACATATATACTACTTACTCAACAGCTAACACAGGTGTTAGGACGTGGACTCTTGTCTTTTGTTTCTTTTTTTACCGCAGAGTTGTTCGTGATCAGTGAGGCTTTACTTTTAGTGAATCTGCGTAGCGAACCCATGTGCGTTATATTGTCTAGCTCTTTGTGTTCTCGAGTGACCGTACAGCAAGCAAGTCAGCAGCACAAATCGCTCAAGAGATACGGCACTTATCGTTTACCTTAGAGCAGGATAACAAATGTGGTGTTTTCGTCTGGGTGCTCGATAACGCCAACATTCCCGGAAACGAACAGGCAGACTCCCCAGCGAGACAAGGTGCCGCCGGCCCGCGCTTGGCCTGGAACAAGATGCCACCATCATATTTCAGTGGCGTATTTTGTGGTGATTTAAAAACACGATGGCAAAACACTTGGCATGAATTGGGTACTGATCTTGCCAGGAAGCCAAACAAGCCCCGAGCCATTAAAGCACAGATCGGTGAATGGAGATGTTCTTCCTTTAAAACCAGAGCCGGCGGAGCAAAACCATGTCGTCTGCGCATAGGTCACACGTAAGAGACGCACTGTCATCTGCTCTCCGGGGAAGCTCGACCGCTATGCCGCAGATGCCCAGCACCATTGTCCGTGGCTCACGTACCAGCTGAGTGTCGGAGCTACGGAATTGAGCGGAACCGTTATCTCAAACTGAATCACATTTCCCTGGACTGTCTGTTGGGTGATCCGCCATTGATTGGTACTCGAGCGTTTTTTTGCCCTTTTTTTTAAAGAGATTGACATCAGACTTTGTTGTCCATTGACCCAGACAATGGGAAGGTGGGCTACAAGACCTTCATGCGATTTTCTTTGCTGCACGGCTCCAGCACGCCGCGGACGAGCTTTCTGAGTGACCAAGACATTGATGACAATCTGCGGACATAGCTTTGTTCACAACTGTGTTGACATAGGTTCTTAAAAACAAGACATGGGCGCAAATAACCAATGCGATTGACGCGCCCTTAGAACTCAATAACTATTTTACTAACGGTAGCCAGTTGCTAGCCCTAGAAACGAGGACGTCATATTTGTAAACTTTTCACTGAGTATGATAAAAATTGATGTAAAATGTCGATCATGTCCCAAGTAAATGCCAACCAGGGTGATCTTCATTCGTGTATTCCAAACCCGAATCAGCGTAATAACATGATAATGCGTTTATATCAACAATGCTGTTACGCTTATAAGCAATGTGCCCGGCGAGAAACCGAGCTTGATTTGTAAGAAAGCTAAGCGGCAAGGAGGCAAGCGCTGTTCTCTGTGCGGAGTGGGAGCGTGTCTGGGTGCCGGACAGCCTGCTGGGCCGCCCCCAGTGTGACATTCAGAGCGGGGATTAGTGTGAAGCGTTTCTACGGCCACCCCCAGTGTGACATTCAGAGCAGGGATTAGTGTGAAGCGTTTCTACGGCCACCCCCAGTGTGACATTCAAAGCAGGGATTAGTGTGAAGCGTTTCTACGGCCACCCCCAGTGTGACATTCAGAGCAGGGATTAGTGTGAAGCGTTTCTACGGCCACCCCCAGTGTGACATTCAGAGCAGGGATTAGTGTGAAGCGTTTCTGCCGCCAGCGTCGCGGCTGAGAATGTAAATGAAGCCGCCTTTTATCCTTGCCGGCCTCCCCAGTTCCTTCCAAGCCGAATGAGACGCCTCTTCGCTCCGCGCCGGCCAATGAATACGAAAGTTTGAAGCCGACTTAAGCCAGGAGCGGTGGGGTTTTGCGGGTGGATTGAATGTCGCGATTCGCTCTTGGATGTGGTGGAAGAACTTGTTGCAGATCATTAGCTGATTATTGCAGGCTGCTGTGAATGGTTGCAACGTATGATTTTCAAGCATACTGAATCAAAGGGCGATGAGGACGTGCTAAGTACTAAGATCATGTTGGGCACCGGCAAAGGCTCAGGCTGCGGGATAATTTTGAACTTATTAGTATGAGCGGCGTTATGTGTCTTCTGCGTCCCCAGCGCCTGTTACAGCCAGCACTGTTCAGTCGATTGACCGCCCTCGAGGGCTCGTGTTTTATGCCTAGTTAATGCTTACGAAACATATGGCGTACTGGTGTAATTAACAGGTCTCTTGGGCTCAGCATGATTGTGTCGAAACGTTCTCGACGCAGCGAAACAGCTCACAACGGATTTGTTCCGTGCGCCATATGCCTCACCAATGTGTAACACGTGGGAACGTCGCGTTCCTTACATCGCTTAGGTTAAAGACGTTGCAAAATCAAATTAACCACATAAATGGAACGTGATTTGATTGCTGAGGACCTATCGCCATTGGCTGCTGCCCTGAAGCCGCGCGGGCCGAAATCGCATTGTATTGAGAGACTCGATTCGTTGGCGAGGAAATATTGACCCGATCAGCGAGTCAGCGGGTGAAAACGGAGAAGTCCAACACGTGTGAGGGGTGGGGCGGGACCCCTGGCGGAGAAGTCGCGACACGTGAGGGGTGGGGCGGGATCTCTAGCGAAGTCGCGATACGTTTGAGGGTTGGAGCGGGACCCCTGCATAACAAAAATCTGTCGCTGTTTGATACTGGGGTGTTGCCCATGTGAACAGGGAACCTGTGAATCTGTGTCGATACCCAGGTAGCACAGACACACAAGTGCTTCCAGGTAGCGGTAGCTGCGAATGAAGTTCAGGTCACCAAGCATTTGCCATCATTGAGTACGGACGCCCACAGGAATTTCCCACGCTGGTGGCGGCGAGCGAATGACCATGGTCAGCGTGGCTAGCGATGGCGCCGAATCATATCGCATGTGCCTAACACTTAATCAAACTCAACAAGCATCACTGTTGAGGCAGTAACGCAGTGCAGTGTCATCTGAGTTGTGGATCAGATGCCAGTGACAGCACGTGACCCCGGGGCTCTGAAAGTCTGTGACTCGAACGGGCAGGTCTCCACGTTACGTCCGAACGCCTCCCTATCAAACTCCACAACTGTGGCCGTCATTCTGTTGGTACTGGCGGACGTCCAAGCGGTATTCATTTCCAACCTCAGCGTTTCCCCTGCACCTTGTTCCCGAGGCGTGTTTATTGCGCCATCGTGCGTCCGGCTCCAGCAAACTGCGCTGAGTGGGTCCGGATGCGCGTGCCTGCAAATGGCGCCTGTACCTTTCATGGTGGCGCTGGGCCACCCAGGAGATGGAATGAAATGATGTTCCTTTTGCATTTTGAAAATAATGGTGATGTTGAGTTCCAATAACGATGGACTTCCTTCATGATGATAATTTGATATTTTGTAATGATAGAATTGTTAAAACATTAGTTTAGCTGAAGAGCACTGTCAGCGCCTTCAAGGTAACATCTTACATATATAAATTAGATTGCATGTAATGTATCATGTTTAGTGTATTTTATCTGTATTGTGTAGCCATGCGCTGTTTTGTATCAGTACCCTCAAGCAGACTTGTGTTTAATTTCCTCCCGTGGAACTGATTCCAACTCCCAACTCGTAATGCATTTAGTGCCTGCCGACTCACACTTCGTGAAGCTCGGCACCGCTCTGAGTAGACTCCGGCTCCTTCTCAGGTAGAACACAATTTTGGAATGGAGTTTATTAGCGTGATGACGTTGTGAAATAGCCGCCATACAGCCATCACAAAAGCATAAGCAGCGCATTTATAATTACGACAGTACGGTTACCTACGACTGCGTCCTATCCTGTGCGCATATTAGCTAGTATCTTCAACATGTCCTGTTTATTATATTTTCACTTCAGTCTACTCAGAGACAGCTCCAATGACTCAGCTTCGGGTCTGACTCACACGACCATTTCAAAGGAATCTATTTCGCCTTGTTTTAACACAAATTTGACTCACTCCGAAGTTGTCTTGACTCTGCATGAGTCGAGCACAAGCCTGCTTCCGTCCGGCCCGTCCGCCCTGCTGTAGCAACCCCCGTGCTTACGTGCAGCGCTGTGCAAAGTTGACCGCGCCGGTCTAAATTGCCGGCTCTGCCCGCATCGCCCGTCTGTCCGGGCGGCCGCAATGCACGAATGGTCGTCATCAGGGCGGTGTTTGCTGGGCCGCGACCGACCGCATTACAATCAGCCAGACGCTGTTTTGCAATCGGGGACCCGAGGCGCGGTGGTGCCGGAGCGCGGGGCCGGTGACGGCTGCCGGCGGCCATGTTGTCAGATGATGCGGTCGGTCTGTCCAGTGTGTTTGAGGAGCGTTCGACGGCCGAGGCGCGGCTTGTGACGCCGAGGTGTTGGCAGCGGCCGATGGTGGCGCTGGAGTCGCACAAACGTCAGTGAGGCGTCCCGCTGTTGGCACAGTGGGTTGTTTCGTGCGCTCGACGCTCAGGGCTAGTGATCTCGGCACGCTGCTTATGGTGCGAAGAGGAACTGCCATTGGGACGCCCACGACGGGCCCCTCGGTGGTTATCCAGATGGATCCAGGCAGACGCAGACCGTTCGCGGCGAAATCGTCGCCGTGGTTCCGAGATGGTGGTCCAGCCAGAGACCCACCACCGGTGTTCTGACTAAACGTCGAATAGAAAAAAATGAAACGGAAAAAGTCGAATGAACTAAAGCTGACGGGGTTAAGAATCGACTGGGATAAAAGTCGAATCGAAAAAGTCAAGAACAATAGGTTTAATGGAATAAAATCGAACTGGCAAAATGTCGATTGGGAAAAACCCCAATTTGGAAGGTCGAAGGACTAAACACAGGAAGTTAAATCGACAGGGATAGATCAAAATACAAAAGTCAAAAGAAGAAAGGTCTCAAGGAACAAAAGCCGGCAGGAAGTCCACGAGGCACTACAGCGTGCCTATGATGGCACACTCATCATGTGTACGGCTTGAAACGCCAAACACTGGCAATATGATTAGGTTTTTCTCTTTTACGTCGTTAAGCCGCATCTCCTAGTATGTTGCAGGTCGATCAGTTGGCATGGAAGATCTGAACTCATGATGCCGAATACATGTACACAGTGTGCTATCCAGGGAGGGGGGGGGGGAGCCTCCCCACCAACTTCGGGTAGAAAGTAGGTCGAACTGGGGGAGAAATCCCTTTGTTTCGTTTTGAAAGTAAGATGCTTCATTTTCCCCCGCTCTTCCCTCTCCCCCAAGGGGAGGGCAAAGTCACTCGTGAGTCTGGTCGCGCTCGGACTCGCATGGTGCCGTCTAGTGCCGTCCGGTCCGTTTCCGTCCCTGGTCCCATGTGATCCCATCGGGCTCCATCCGATCCGGCCCCCGTCCGGTCCGTTTCCGTCTCTCGTCCCATGTGATTTCATCGGGCCCCATCCGATCCGGCCCATGTCATCTGTTTTCGCCCGGTCCCTTCTGCTGTGGTCTGGTCCCGTACGGTCCCGCCCGCTCCCGTCTAGTCCCATCCAGTCCCATCCGTCTCTCCTTGTGGCCACAGCTCTATCTACCCCTCATAACAGGCGCCAAATTCTAATGACTTTTTTGTCAAATTATTTTGATTAAAAGCGTTTGTACGTATCCGAGCTCACCTCATCCGGTCGATGTTTTGTGTTATGGCTTATTCTGATAAGGCTTTTATCGACTCCGCATTATTCCTTTCGACTTTTCTTCTATTCGATTTTTATCCCTGTCGGCTTTATGCCCTTTGAATTTTCTTCCATTCGGCTTTTATCATCATCAACTTTTCTTCCATCGGTTTTTCGTCCTTCGAATTTTTATGATGCAACTTTTCCAATTCGACTATAATCCCATATCAAATTTTGTTGCTTTTAACTTTTGCCCTTCGACTTTTTCCAATTCGACTTGTATCCCTTTCGACTTTCTTCGCTCGACTACTTTCCATTCGACTTTGTCCATTCGACTGCTTGTCCGGGAACCCGTACCACCAACGACGAAAACGAGTAAATGCATACAGTGCCAGAGTTTGCGCAATACACATATCGGCTAGAATCCAGACGTCACCAAGAAGTCTTTTTCCACGGCTGACGGTCCATATTGTGTAGAATCAGAATCAGTTGATATTAGGCTCACCACTGTGGTAGAGTCAGCCAGATCCAGCTATATCACGAACTGTCTAACCCACAGGTCTAGTAATCGCGCCAAAGTCTGCGAGATCTTAGGCGCGACATCGCATGCCAGACCCAGTCCCAGGGCCATGTGGGTGTGCTAAAAGGGCGCGTGTAGTCATGTCTGGCATCTGTCAGCTCTCCTTCAAAACCAGTTGCTCACGCGATGTTCAGGCGTCCGTGTACGCAGCACGGCGCAGGATGGCTTTGGTGTGGTTAGGGCAGACCTGGCGACGCCCATGACCGCCGTGCGAGGTGATGAGGTCACCGGTCAGGGCCGGGGTGTCACGACTCGGCCCTGACCGGGTCGTTCGCTGTGTTTAATGCAATAGTGCTCACTGCTGAGGTGCTCGGCGTCTGCGGCAGAGTTGGGTGGTAGCTGCGGTTAGGGGATAAGCAGCAGCTGCCGACTTTTGTTATGCTCTGGAACAAGAGCAGGCCTGCGGAATGTGTGCTTCTGATGCTTCATGCCGCTGACCTTTGCTTGACATTGCATACCGATCGTCTACGGATCGTCGGCGAGGTAAAGGACTTGTGATGGCGGTTTGTTTGAAGACAGAGGCAAGGCTTTGCAAGACGACGTTGTGACTGATGAAAAACTTCCGTCTCTTCTGGAGCTAAAACTGTAGATAATAAATGTTCTTCAGTAAGTGAGGTCCTCGCTACCGGCTTACCTTTGCACGTGATACACTTTTGTTTTCAAAAGCAGGAGCATGGATCGCAAATAACCCATAAGGAATGGAGAACGAAGAATGCTGCCCGAGGAAAAACAACCTTTTGAAGTCGGTTGGCTATCGTGATCCCAACCATGCGATTGTCCGGTTTTCAATCGTGGGGATTACATTTTGTTTACCATTTGTGAAATGCGCGGCGGATACTTTCTCGTCATAAATAACAAATGCGTTTGTAACGCTCGAACTGGAACATTTTCAATTGCTTGGTTTGCAACGCCGCAGGCTGACCTGCCGTCTTTCTCCAAACCTTTGTCGAGGCGTTTGTTTCCATTGTTAGCAGGTATGGCAAAGGATAACGCAGGCGTTGGCTATGTTAATGTGTCCCCATCTGCATGAATGTGGCTCGCTATGCGGAGATGTGATGTATATATATATATATATATATATATATATATATATATATATATATACATGTATATACACCTTACATCAATCAGAGACATGATTGCATAGCGAGCCACATTTACACAGAAGGGGACACACGTGTGTCGTTATCAGTGTGGAGATGGAGGCTGTCTGTAGATGGTGCTTGTCTTGTCGAACGGGGGGGGGGGGGGTCTGAGTTCTGACCACGGCCGTCTTTTGTATGAATATGTTTCCCAATGACGCTGGTGTGGACACCCGGTTAGCGATATCGCTGTAGCTGCAGCCACTGGACACTTCGACTGACCTCACGTGGTGGTCTTGACTAGCACCTATCTAACCGAGCAGCAGGGCACACGGCGCTGACCGCTCTGATAATATAACAAATATGTGGGGATAGAACGATCGCTGCCTCTGCAGTGCCACTGGACTCGAATACCGCCGCGCCGTGTCCGGCGTTCTGACAATCTCAACAGAAGCCGCTCTGAGTGGCTTTATCCTACCCCATTTCCGCCGGTGCTTCCCCAGTATTTATGGGACGTACAGATACTTTGTACTTAACTTGCCTTGTGCCTTATTTCACTCGCCTTTACACGTTTAGGGCAGGACTTGTAGGACATGACTTGCAGGACGGCGAGGGCAGGACTTGTAGGACATGACGTGCGGGACGGCGAGGGCAGGACTTGTAGGACATGACGTGCAGGACGGCGAGGGCAGGACTTGCAGGACATGACTTGCAGGACGGCGAGGGCAGGACTTGTAGGACATGACGTGCAGGACGGCGAGGGCAGGACTTGTAGGACATGACGTGCAGGACGGCGAGGGCAGGACTTGCAGGACATGACCTGCAGGACGGCGAGGGCAGGACTTGCGGGACATGACCTGCAGGACGGCGAGGGCAGGACTTGTAGGACATGACGTGCAGGACGGCGAGGGCAGGACTTGTAGGACATGACCTGCAGGACGGCGTTTGAAATCGGCCGTGATGACCATACACATCCGGTTTCTCAGGCCGCTGCCACACTGAAGCCCACTTTCAAATGTTGCTTCACGTTAGGCGCCTTTGATTTTGTTTGCCAGGAACAAACAATGTCGAATGAAGTCTGACTGCGTAAATATCAAGGGAGAAGTCCTCTTCTGAGCTACAAAGCACAGTCTGTGAGACTGGGGTCTACACGATGTGTATTGGCAGGCACTTACCATGCCAAAACACGTTCTTCCAACACAAACATTGTATGTCTTCGCTGTAGAATGCTTGGCCAGTCCCGAAGAAACAGGCTAGGGATGGAAGCAATTTTAAGTACTTACCATCGACAAAATGCTTCGAGTAACTGGGGTCGATACAGCGGCCTACGCGTTTAGGCCAGCATCGAATGGCTAGCGAGTACTGTTTTCAAAAACGGATGTAGCAGTGGCTGCGCTGCTGTTTTCTTCTGCAGCTGCTCTGAGTCCTCATGGTTCCGGTGCGCACGGTCACCATCCCACCATCCGCGTAATCCCTCGGGTCGGGCTGGGTGTAGTCTGCGACCGGCCCGGCCCGGCCCGGCCCGACCCGACCCGACCCGACCCGACCCGACCCGACCCGACCCGACCCGACCCGACCCGACCCGACCCGACCCGACCCGACCCGACCCGACCTGACCGCTTTTCAGACCGTATACATGTGACCGCCTCTACCCCCCCCCTGATTCCTTTTGACCGAACCCGACCACCTCTGGCTGCTTTCAACTGGTCCTGAAGTCGTCTTGGGTCTCATCGTTCCTGACCGTCTCTGACCTCCCCTAATTGTTCTTGACCTCATCTGGCCGGCCCTTACGTCCTCCGACCGTCCCTGGCCTCCCCTGATTGTTCTTGCCCTTCTCTGGCAGGTCCTGACCTCCTCTGACCTTCCATGACCCCTCTGACCATCGTTGACCTCCTCTGGCGGACCCTTACATCCTCTGACCGTCCCTGACCTCCACCGACCGTCCCTGACCTCCTCTGACTGTCCCTGACTTCCCCTGACCGTCCTTGACCTTCTCTGGCAGACCCTTGAGTTCTCGGACCGTCTCTGACCTTCCCTGACCGTCCCTGACCTTCTCTGACCTGCCCTGACCGCGTCTGACCCATTGCAGTTCAACTGGCACGCGATTCCGGACCGGGAGAAGCGGCTGCACTCGCACCCCTCGGAGCCGGTGGCGTCGCCCACCATGGCTGGCGGCTTGTTCGCCATCGACCGGCGCTGGTTCGAGACGCTCGGCACCTACGACGAAGGCTTCGACATCTGGGGCGGCGAGAACCTCGAGCTCAGCTTCAAGGTAGGGACGCCGGATCACATCCCGCCGGCGGTCGGGTTTTTGCCGTTGTGGCGGTGCTGGCTGGCGTGCGCGTATATTTCGCCCGTTGCACGTAAAGATAGGCTGACGTGCGCGAGCTTTCTGCGCGTAATTGCAAGGGGAGCTTTTCCAGAATGCCGTGCACGTCGCACTGTAAGTGTTCGAACACCGCCCACGCTCAATGATAGACTAGAGCGGTCGAGGGGAATGAGTGGATTTTAGCATGTTCCCCTCCCCGCACTGGCCGCGCCCAGCCAGCCAGTCGAGCGCTGGGCGGAGCGCGTGCGAGAACCACTTTCTACCGGTCGCTGAGCGGGACGGTTTTTGTGGCGATCAGGATAGCGATAGCCGCATCACAGGCTGCCCACCTGACCTCGTTTGTTACCATTGCGTCATACTACTTATTGCAGGTCTGTGTCCGCCCATGGATTACACAGAACACGGCGAAGTTTAAAAAGCTGCTAGGATGTTATGCCGTGACGCCTTGTCGTAATAGGCGATCATACCATGGCTTTGATACAACGGCTCGTCGAAACTCCCATCTGCCGTCGGCTGTCTTTGAATTAACGAACGTTATCATGCACAGTTTTTTTTTGTGTTCGCCTGAACAAAATGACAGCCATCGCCTCCACCTACATGTTCCGGTATATATAACCCACATCTCGCTAAGACAAACAGCCATCGTTGTTGTAACGCCTCGTGTCATCATACCCCGTTCCCACTGTTTGCCTTACATAGGAGGCTTATCTCTCGTCCCAGCCCGCACCACACTCGTCCCAGCGCCGGCACGTTCGTTCGTTCCCTCTTTGTGGCCACGCCCGCTCCCATCGTCCGCGTCGTCTCACGCACCGCCCTGAGCGATGGCCAGTCACAGGTCATTTCCAGGCCTCAGGGCGCGACCGCGTCTGCCCCGCGCGCGCGAGTGCACCGATCGGGCGCGCGGCACGGTGCCGCGAGCACAACTGGCGGGCCATCCGTGCGCGAGCGTCGTTGGCGGCGGCCATTTCCGGGTGGGCAGCGGTGGTGGGAGCCGTGCTCGCCAGCCGAACGCCGCCGCGCCGGCTTCACGCCGTTCCTTCGCCACTTGTCGGCCGACGCGCGCCGTTTTATGAAGATTAGCCGTGGCGGCCAGGCGCCCGCGGCGTTAATGTGGCCCCGCCACGGAGGCGTCACGAGCGCCCCGACGCCTGCTGATGGCCGGGTTGGGGGGGGGGGGTGGAAATGAGGGGGGGGGGGGACGTTCACCAAGCGATTGAGGGCATTGCGGCCCGGCAGGATATGTATGCAGCTGTTGCTCGGGTCGTAACTGGCTACTATATGTTTGTTTATTTATGGCCATGTTCGCTCGTCAACATGTGGTTGACAAACTTGCCGCCTCCGTGGTCTTGGGGAAAGATGCTGGACTCGTAATCCAGCGGCACTGGGTACGAGTCCCAGAGTGGGCGCATTGTTTGACCCGACTGAAGTGGAAAGGCCAGCTGGCAACTGGCCAACGAGGTTCAACCCAGACCCGAGGCGGCCGTGTCGCAGCATTGTGCGGCACGTAAAACCCTCCGCATTCCTGTCTGGAGAAAGGGCGGAGGTAAAATTAGCTGTTGAACTGGACGGCACGCTTGGGTGGTGGGTTCAGGGTACACGCAACAAGCTATGCTTAGCAGGTACTCTGAATCCGAAGTCACCCATACAAACCATTCGGGATAAATTTTTAAAAAAAACTTACATCCACTATGTTCACGTAGCTGCTTTCGCAATTTTCGAATGATTGGTACGTTCTTCGTGTGGCGCGGCTGCGTCAATGGGCTGGCTGGCAGGGCGATGGCAGAGATTGGCTTCAGTATTGAATGGCGATGCTCACCGCCAAGTGCTGCCGCGTTTGCCTGTATGTTGGGTGGAGTACAGCTAACTGTATTAGGCTTTTAGGGGTCTCAGCGCGTGGCTTTGCATATTTCATTGCTTCATTTGCCTCTCAGCTGGGGGCCACCTTTCCCGCGTATTTTGTGCCGGGTTTGTCTAAAAAACAGCTGGATTCGGTCTGCTCCCCTCCGTTTTTGCCTTGCTTCAGCGCTGCTTGTTGCCGCGTGGTCATGGCCATGGATGATAAGGTCGGCAACACGGCGTGGTGATTACGCAATGAATTCAAGGATGCATTCTTTACTGGGACACGGTCAACACCGGCACGTTTCTGCTTCAGTCCGTCCCGTCAGTGTTGAAGCGACCTCAGCCTGGCCTGCCATATCGTATGCTGAATGGCTTGTGCAGCGAGACCTTGGTGCTTTTACAGCTGTCTGTAGTTGCGAAGAGACACTTCTGCTGCGAGTCACTTCTGAAGAAGCCACCTCGAGCGAGTGTTTTATACAGTGACATCTTCGGCTGAGTGTCAGTTGGTGGGGAATCTGAGATACACGGCATTCCTTGCGCCTTCGTGAACGTTAGGGGCCCACCTTGTCCGTTAGCCCTGGTCGAAGTGACAGTGACTGCACTCTGACCGCCGATTCCGCAGAGGCGACAAAGTGACCTCCGCCCTGTCCAAGTTACGTCAGCGACGCAGCCACTCCGGCCATCTCCGCCTGGCGCCGGCTGCCGTCGGCGCTGAGGCCGCTCCGTTCCCCAGACGTGGATGTGCGGCGTGCTGACGGCCGGTCCGCTCCCCAGACGTGGATGTGCGGCGTGCTGACGGCCGGTCCGCTCCCCAGAGACCGGGTCCGCTCTCCAGACTTGGATGTGCGGCGTGCTGACGGCCGGTGCGCTCCCCAGACCCGGATGTGCGGTGTGCTGACGACCGGTCCGCTCTTCAGAGACCGGGTCCGCTCTCCAGACTTGGATGTGCGGCGTGCTGACGGCCGGTCCGCTCCCCAGACCTGGATGTGCGGCGTGCTGACGACCGGTCCGCTCCCCAGAGACCGGGTCCGCTCTCCAGGCTTGGATGTGCGGCGTGCTGACGGCCGGTCCGCTCCCCAGACCCGGATGTGCGGCGTGCTGACGGCCGGTCCGTTCCCCAGACCTGGATGTGCGGCGTGCTGACGACCGGTCCGCTCCCCAGACCCGGATGTGCGGCGTGCTGACGGCCGGTCCGCTCCCCAGACCCACATGTGCGGCGTGCTGACGGCCGGTCCGCTCCCCAGACCTGGATGTGCGGCGTGCTGACGACCGGTCCGCTCCCCAGACTTGGATGTGCGGCGGCCGGCTGGAGATCGTGCCCTGCAGCCACGTGGGCCACATCTTCCGGAAGCGCTCGCCGTACAAGTGGCGCTCTGGCGTGAACGTGCTGCGCCGCAACAGCGTCCGGCTGGCCGAGGTCTGGATGGATGACTACAAGAAGTACTACTACCAGAGGATCGGCTTCGACACGGTGGGTGGCCTTTCCGCCGCAGCGGGCGTGGCTGGGACCAGCCACGCCCTTCAGCTGCACAGTTGTGGTAGTCTGTGTGTTGTGTCGCAGTGTGCCGACGCGGTGGTCGGCTTTTCCAGGACAGCGGTGTGTGTTCAGGACTGTGTGGAGTTGGGAGGCGTTGCGCTTTCGGTCCGGCAGTTCTGCAGCATAGTGCACGATAATAGATCGGTTTGTTGGTGGAATGCCTTCGGTGTTGGGCCATGGCGGATGCTTCCAAATTTGCAGTGAGCTGCTCTCGAAATAGCTCAAGTTATTTCGAGGCCGCCTGACTTGTCTGGGAAAAAGAAAGCCGCCACTAAGCTGCTTGTCACGGCCGCCAATAGTGTGGACCGACCACGCTCCTACCACTAACCCCAGTACCATCATGGACGTCTCTCGCCCCATGGTGACAACGGTGACCTAGCTCGTCTCTCGCGCCAGGGCAACTACGGTGACCTGACGTCGCGCAAGGCGATTCGCGAGCGGCTCGGCTGCAAGTCGTTCCGCTGGTTCTTGGACAACGTCTACCCGGAGCTCTTCATCCCGGGCGAGGCGGTCGCCAGCGGCGAGGTACGTGCCGCGGCCACGCGCTGTGTGGCCAGGCGGAGAAGGAGGGGGGGGGGGGGAGGGGGACCGCTCGGCAGAGATCACCTGTCGCTCTCACGCTGCATGTAGGTGTGTGGTGTGATAGCACGGAGTGTGGCTCGTGGCTTGTGGAACCGCGCGAGAACTGTGATATTTTGCGGTGGGTCAAGAATGGTTCGGGTACGAACGCCCTGGACTCGATCGATTCGGGTCTTTGCGGTCTACGTTTTGAAGCTACCTGATGCTAGTCTGGTGGACTCTTGTAGACTCTTGGCCGGATTTGATACTCGACGCTTTATTTGCCAGCATATACAACCGTGGTGAAGCAGCGAAAAACCAAACCATTTTCTCTTCTTATTTGCGCGTTCTGGCTTTCACTGCCGTTTAACTGTATGACTGTGTGGGAGCCGGGCTGGGAAAACCGGCGGGTTTCGGTGCCAACGCGGCTGTCCACGCGCCAGACAAACGTGTCGTTTGCAGCGGACAGCAACGTTTTCCAAGGTCATTGTGCTCTGGTTCCGGTTTCCGGTGTAGCCAGGAGGCTTATTGCCAACTTTATGACATCAGGGGCAGAACGGGTTTTGCAGGTGCTGGCCACGCTAACCACTCGGTCATTCATTCTTCATGGAAGGTCACGGCATGCTGTCACCTTGGATTTGCCAAGTACCGATCGGGATCCAATCGCGGAGAAATTATTTTTGCCGAGTCCGATTAATCAGATAATTTGTGTGGACGATACTGCTGGCTCAGAACGTGTTTGCGGACATATGACCTCAGCCTTTATTCGGGATGGGTGATGGCGAAAAGACTTTACTTGCGCATGTTTCGGATTCTCTTTCGAAGCCTGCCCATCAGTGACGGGTTCAGACTTTTTTCTTTTAATTCCGTGAGATACAAACCATGTTCTTGTTGGTTTTGGGTGATGTGGTTGTTGTTTTCGGATGCGTTTATTAGATACCGTGCGGTTTCTAGTCTGTTTATTTTACCTGGTTGCCACCCTGGTACTCAGGTTTTCCTTGGTTTCCTTCGTGAATAATATATCCATCGCCGGAAATGTCAGCTCCCGCTCCGTTTTGCATGCTCCTTGAGATCTTTATGCTCGAGATGGGATAAACTCCAAGCCCGGAAGCCCAAACGAGGTCCCCACACTTCGCCCAGCCAGCTTCATGGAACACCTACGCTGCGTGCTGCTCCCACGCTTTGAACGCCTACTCAGGCAGTCGCCGCTACGGCTGGGACTGTTTGCTTGGTTCGAGGCTGTATAGATACATTGGGCTCGGGGAAGGCATGCTGCGCTTTGGACCACGCCCCATAAGCTGGTTATGTAGCCCTTACCGCATGACCACAGACGCCCTCGGGCCTCTTCGGCCGGCGGCTAACACGTACATTGGTACACGGAAGGAAACATGAACGCTTTGTGTGTATAAATAACGATGTACATTTCCCATAGCTGGAATGGGCCCCATATGATATCCTTTATCTACAAAATTGCATTTGGTCTAGTGCATTCTAGCTAGAGATCACTTGCAGTCGTCATCTTCTCCAGGTCTCGTTAATGTAACTTGTTCATTCGGAACATGCTTAATTGCCATAGTTCAAGAGCTCACAGCTGACGTGCCACGATTCCTGTTGTATGGGCTGTGCCGCAAAATGCTGCACTGGTGTGGACCATTTTTGTACGTCGGGCCTTTGTCCAGTGGAGTAGCGTCCCCACCAGCGACAGCATCGGGTCGGCTTTGAATACTGGGTTGCTCGCTCGGTGCTGGTGTACATACACACAAGCTTGTACAGGGTGACATGGGCAGCGGGCATGCCCGGGGGACACGCGCCGCCCTCACCTGGTGACCTCAGCCGGTGACCTCTGGCGTCCCCAGGTGCGAAACCTGGCGATGGGTGGCAAAACATGCCTCGACTCGCCCGCCCGGCGAAAGGACCTCCACAAACCCGTGGGTTTGTACCCCTGTCACAGCCAGGGTGGCAACCAGGTAGGCTGTCCGGCGCGCCCCTGCCCGGCCCGGCCTTCGCTGTGACGCCAGCGACATCTATACCGCCGCAGAGCCGCCCGCACTGGCCCACGCGCTGTGCGCGCCGACGTCGGTCCGATCCGCAAGACGCGGTCCAGGCGATAGAAATCTAGCCGCGTGGTTGCGTGCCAGACGGTAGCGGACGGTATAGGTGGCGCTGCGTCCTCGACGGCGTGCTGGGTCCGTTCTCGGTGCTCACACTGTACGCCACGTCCGTCTGTTTCCGCTAGATCCGCAACGAGGTCACAAATATTTGCGTGGACTCGCCGTGCGATCCGAAGGATCTGTATAAAGCGGTGGGAACGTACCCGTGCCACAAGCAGGGCGGGAACCAGGTGAGAGGACTGGCAGTGCCCACAGAGGGCGCTGGCCCCTGGCTGGTTGGCAGTCCGGTGATTCGCCGCCAGAGCGCCAGCGTTGCCCGCGGGACACGTCATGTGACATATCTGGAGTTGGAGCTATGCAGTAATTGCATTGTGTGTAGTTGGGCTGCAGCCGAAGTGTTACAAAATGACGATCAGTTAGAACGGTGCTGATGTATGTGGCACGTTATTACTTTTTACTGGTTGAATGCAGATATACAAAAAGTCTCAATTCTGATTGCGTGTGCAGTTAAGGTCATTTTCGTTTTTACGTTGCACTTTTCTGGTGATAGTTATATGTTAAGAAGCCTATTCTGGACTGCATGACGATTATGCATCGCCTAAATGAAAAATTAGCATTTCACCTAAAAAAGTAAAACCCTTTTCTAGGCTTGTATTCCCCGGGCTTTTCTCGGCACCTGAAAAGTGGTCGATGTGTGTTGGCGGTGGTCACGTCCCGTGCGCGTTTCAGTTCTGGATGCTAAGCAAGGAGGGCGAGATTCGACGTGACGAGGCTTGCATGGACTACTCAGGCTCTGACGTCGTTCTGTACCCGTGCCACGGCTCCAAGGGCAACCAGTTCTGGGCGTACGACCCCCAGGTGAGATGCCATAGCGCTTGGCTGAATGGCGGGTCAGGGCGGAGCGGTGGCAGTGATATGCGGTGTTGTGTGTGAACTGTGACAGGTGTGTACCACAGCGCCTGGTTGAGTGGGAAGTCAGGGCGGAGCGGTGGCAGTGATGTGTGGTGTTGTGTGTGAACTGTGACAGGTGTGTACCACAGCGCCTGGTTGAGTGGGAAGTCAGGGCGGAGCGGTGGCAGTGATATGCGGTGTTGTGTGTGAACTGTGACAGGTGTGTACCACAGCGCCTGGTTGAGTGGGAAGTCAGGGCGGAGTGGTGGCAGTGATGTGTGGTGTTGTGTGTGAACTGTGACAGGTGTGTACCACAGCACCTGACTGAGTGGGAAGTCAGGGCGGAGTGGTGGCAGTGATGCGCGGTGTTTTGTGTGAGCTGTGACAGGTGTGTCACCTTAGGAGATGCCTCCCTCGAGATGTGCTGAACGTTTCGTGTTGGTGCCTGTGGGTACTGGCGTAAGTGTGGTGATTCCTGCGTTTCATGTCGTTTGAGCATGCCCATTGACGGCCAGTCTGGCTTTGTAGCTTTGAAGGACTGAGCAGCGGCTTTTCCCCCGTTTTAGACACATTTCATCCAGCACGGTTCGAGCAAAAGATGTTTGGGCGTCAGCGCAGACAAGAAGAAGCTCACCATGGAGGAGTGCTCGCCGCTGGAGCAGAGGATACGGTGGAATTTCCAGAACTACGACGCGTCCAAGTTGTTATAGCATTTGGTGGGTGCTTCCTTCTCCTTGCGCACATGCTGAGTGCCAGAAGTTACTGCCCTTGCTCCTGTGTTGCCTTGGCATGGGTTGTAGACTACTTACTGCGTAACATACTTTGCTGTATTTTTAGCCAGAAGCCGATAGCAAGATGCCGAGTGTCAGAACACTGAGCTCTTACGTCAGAACACTGAGCTCTTACGTCAGAACACTGAGCTCTTACGTCGCCCCGTCCCCGAGATGTACCCTGTTTACTGTTGACGTTGGCCAGTGACCATGCGGAGAAGTCTTCTAATGGCATCTTGGATCTGAATTCACACATTCGTGTTTCAGTGCATTATATCTGTTGGAGATTGGGGGCGTTGGGGTTGAATAGGGAAGAAGCATGAAAATGCCATACTCAAGCACCGGTCGACCGTGGAGCAAACTACCGATTCTCCAATTCGTCGAAAGGTGTCACTTCTTTTCCCGCCTTCTATTCACCGGCCACTCTACACATGCAGGCTAGCCCTCTCAGGGAACAGGCGGTAAGCACCATTTAGTTTCCTTTTCATGCTTTTGCTACTCGTGTTGAAGCTACACGTGGGTGTTCGACACTAGACGCAATCAAATGCATGAGTTGTCGTGGGAGTCGTCGTGAGGCTTCACATTGCAGGTAGATCCGCCCGACAATCAATACATAATATAATAGTATGACGACGGCTATCGTTGATCTGGTGTTGCGCTTCTCCGACAGAGACCTCCTTGCGGGACATCCTGTCGTCGGACCGGGACTAGAGAGGCGCATGGGCGCCTTCGAACCCTCCCTCCGGCGAACGGACGACTCGCTGATGCTGTCCGCTGTTGCGTTGCGAGAGGGATGGCCAGGTGGACCTAGTGACACAGACCACGATAGACCCAGTGCTGGGCGTGCGCGTGTGCGTGCTGTTCCGCCGCGTCGTTTGGGCTGAGGCCTGCGCCGACGGCACGGAGGCACCGGCAGTGACGACTCCAGCGGGTTTGCAGCGAGCTGATCGGGGCGCGCATGCCCCCGCGGAGAGAGCGGAGAGGGAAGAGGTGTGAGCGCGAGTGAGAGCGAGCGAATGGCCGACTACCGTTTCGGTGAGCTGGTGCGTTGTCTTTCATCGTAGCTGCTGTCCAGCTGGGCGGCTGGTGGCCGGTGAACGGCGGCACAGGGCAGCGGTCGCCCCCAGGAACACGTGTGAACTGTGATAGCTAGGTTTTGTACGGCGCTGCAGGCGGACGTCTGGAAGGACGGCGGAAGCCATCCGCGTCTCTCGTCCAACCGGCCGGATCCGTTCGAGACCCAATATCGTCCCATATCATAACCACCGGCAACTTACATACCGTGCGCATATCAGGCCAGTGAAAGCCGACCTCGAGAACATTCCTGGATTTGCGTTTGAATGCCGTGCGGTGCATGATGTGTCAGGCTCGCGCACGCCCAGAGCTCCAAGCAGCCTTGCGTGGAATCAGTTTTGCCGGTCCCGCACTGTGTTAGTTTTGCCAATAAGGATTTTTTGCCGCTCTACGGACGTGGTGTTTGCCTCCGTCGATTTCGGCGGCCGATCAAGTTCGTGTGGTCGCTTTTGTATGCCGTGTTTGTCCTTGTTTGTCCTCGCCCGTGCAGCAGCGTCCTGAGGAGCCGACCGCTTCTCATCCTGGCAGACTATATACATTGACAGCGGTCTTGTGTTTGGTGGCTCTGTTTCTCTCAGCGAAGACGGCCGTGTTGGGGAAGAGGGGTGAGAGCTGGCGCTGCCGAGACGAGGTGGCGGGCGCTACCGGTCATGCCTCCAGGTATCGAGTGCACTACCTTTGCATGCAGTGAGAACATTCCCTCGCAGCTGCCCTCACAACGGGGCGGGCAGTAATCCTCGGTGTGGGCAGTGTAAAGATGGGTGAGTGGCCTTGGCCATGCGCGGGAAAATGAAACCTCTTATGCCTACGGTCTGTCCTTCGGAGGTCAGGCCTGTAGATGACTTTGGCCTCACCGCCGGGTTCACAGTTTTCTTACGCGTCCTGCCAGCTTCCTGTCGGAATCTCAAGTGCTCATTACTCGCGTGGAATCACCGCTGGCTGCTTTTCTGACGTATCCCGGTGAGATCGTAGAAGGCGCTTCAATACGAAATGCACACGAGTATACTGAGCGAGACTTGGCAGTTTCAGCGCCGTCGTGTGCTGGGGCATCATGAGTATTCCCCAACGGTAAACGGCAAATTGATTGGTTGATTGGATCATCCGTTTTCTGTACAAATAGTATATTTCCCGCGTACGCGACACTAACAATGACGTCATAATCGTCGGTGACTGGGACGCGTTGAGCAGTTCCGTATATGGAGGCGCGTATCTCAGTCACGCGCGACTGCAACCGTTGCACACGTTTGGCAGCCACAGCATTAAGCAGAGAGATGCAGGACAGACAGCCGTGGCACAGGCCTACCGAGCCAAGTCCTGAGGAAGCCCGAGACTGCGAGCAAAACCAGATCGCCCCGGTCCACCTGGTCATTGTGGACGAACCAAGGACCATCCGGTCTATGCGACGTCACGAGGCCCCGCCAGAGAGCCAGCTGGTGACTGGGTGACCTCGGCCTTTGGCGACGATCTGCCCCGCCACCTCGCTGCAGGCACTTACCAAGGGGCGCGCTGTCGCGTTGGTAGGAGCATCACGCTGGTACAAACGCCCCCAGCGACGCACCACGGCGAAGACAGAGGGCGCATGCACACACAAGGTCAGGGATGAGTAACAGACCCGGACGGGTGCGATATGAACGACCAACGACCTAACGTTACATTACATTATGATGGCATGCGTTTGATTGTAATGTGTCACTCATGCATCAGAATTTCAACAAGCTCGGCTGCACTGTCCGCTGGGTCAGGGCGCCAGGGTTTCTCGCACGAGCCCGTGGCATTGGCCGGCAGCGTGGACAGCACGTGCCGCGGCAACAGACCGCAGCGACACATGCCGCTGGCGGCGCGCGGGGCGACACCTCGTGGCGGCAGCACCGCGCGGCGCGCGTCGAGCCCGCGAGCATCGCGCCTCTCGCGGTGCCCGGCACAGCCCTGAGTTCAGAGTGCGTCCCCAGGCGGCGCGCGCGTCGGGTACTCCCATGCCGCTCTGGCCCGGCGCCGTAGCTGACTAGCTCGGTTGTGGCGACTGGTGCAACGCGTTACTTGACACCTCCGCGCGCACCGGCCGGTCGCGGCCGGCGCGGGCTGCTGGTCTCGTCGTCGCTGACGTAGCCGGCGTTGTTATACATCTCGAGGAGCGAGAGGGGCGCCGACTTGGGCCGGTGGCCGCGGCGCGCGGCGGCCGGCGCCGCGCCGCCCTTGCTCGCGCCCTTCGACAGACTGCTCTCGCTGCTGTCCTCGCCGGACGTGCCGAGGCCGAGGTCCTTCTCGAGCGAGCCCTGCTCGGCTTTGGCGGCCAGCGCCGGCGGCGGCGAGTCCTGCTCGGCCACCGTGAACGCTCCCGTCTGCAGGCGAACGGCTGAGTCGGTCCGGCCGCCACGCGACAGCGCCGTGCCGTTGCTCTGAGGCCGGGGAATACGCAACGGGAGCTGGCAGGCCTTGGTGCCGTGCAGCGTGGCGATGCGGCCCCCGCTGAGGTAGTAGATGCCGTCGCCGCCGGGTGGCGCCGCCGACTTGTCGGTCTCCTCGGGCTCGATGTGGCCACCAGCGCCGCAGCAGTTGGAGCCGGGGCCGAAGAGCGAGAGCAACACCGGCAGCAGGAAGATGCCGTGCACCATGCCGAAGAAAATGACCAGGAAGTTCGTCTTGAAAAAGGTGACGAAGATGTAGGAAGGCGCGAAGTAGAGCGTTGATACGCCCAGGATGGTGGAAAAGCCGCCTTGAAGGATGGGCAGCCCGAGAGCGTGCAGACAACTCTCCACTCGCTCGTCGGCCGACCGGCCGTGGGCAGACATGTAGGCGTAACTGATATGCGCCGAGAAGTCGACCGAGAAACCGATGCACATGATGAGGTTGATCATCGAGATGCTATCCAGGTTGACGTCCCACAGCGTCATGTAGCCGATGACGCCGATCTCGATGCTGAGGATGCTGAAGGCCACCCAGAGCGAGCAGATGGGGTTGGGGATGAAGATGAGGGAGACGACACACATGATGCCGGCCGCGATGCTGATAGACTGGATGGAGACGGTCCGCACCAGCACAAACTGCCGGAAAAATATGGAGCACTCAGACCCGCGCTCCCCAATTAAAAATCCTCCTCGTATAATGAACATTTACACGCGTGCGCAATGCGTCAACTGCAAAACGAATCCGCGTGTCAAACTTTCTAAACAACCGGAACGAAGAAAATTCACACGTCACAAAGACGTGGATAACTTTCTGCATTCGTCACGACATTCCTGTGGCGATTCTGTATGCAAGGGGCACTCGTAATCATTATATGCCTGTCACAAGCCTCTTGGTCTTTTAAAAAGCAGAGTTGGGTTGCAATGCCTGCATATAATAGGAACGAATTTTAAAAAATAGCTCGTGCTGGACGAAACCTGCTTAGCGTAGATCAACTACCAACATTTACCCCATCACCCTCCCCACACAACTTCCACCTGCCATCCTTGCCAGCACAGCCGAACTTGCGCTCTCTAGCCAGCGAGCGCCCGTACCTCACCTGATCAAAGAAGACGAAGAGCGGGTGGAAGATGGAGCAGCTGAGCTCCGACTCCCGACAAATGCGCCGCAGCTCCAGCATCATGTCCTTGTCCTCCAGCGTGTTGTTGACATGCTTGGTCTGAATGATGAACCGTGAGGCGACGATCTTCTGTCCCGTCTCGTCGAACGCCACGTCCCTGCTGAACTGGCTGGCGTCGTTGAGAAAGATCTGCCGGCCGAAAAGTGACACGTCAGAGGAGCCGGGCGGGCCTCCAGGCGGGTGCACGCCGCGTCTGCATGCTTACGCCTTACCTGAGCCCAAAAAAGAATGCCTGCATAATGCATTCTTGAGGGAGGAATTTCAATGAGGGCCTTTGTCACCGCGGCTACCTCACGTGTGGCGCGCGCTGGAATGAACACGACTCCGCAGCCCCAGCTGCGGTGGGGTTTCGTCTGGACACTGACGCATGCTTGACGAGGCTGTGTTTCAGAACCCGCTCCTACGTAGCTCTCGCGAAGGAGGTGACCGTTGAAGGCTTCGACACACGGACACACCCGCGGGGCTTTGGACACCAGCAAGGCCACCGTTATTTCAAAGCCTCACGCTGTAAACCCCAAGGAGGCCCACGCCAGGGCCAGCTGCGGTGGCAGCTGTAAGCAGCTCCAGCTCAGGTACACGGGCCGGACGCCTGCGAAAAGCTGGCTAGTTTCCCGGTACCGGTCGGCGGCGGTGTTTGGCAGCGGTCAGCAGCGGTGTTGCGCCACTGCGCGTCTGGCGGGCGCGATCTGATCCCGGTGACCCTACCAGGATCGCCGCCGGCGGGACGGGGCCACAGCTGAGCCTCGTCAAGAAGTTGATGGCTATGGCTGCTTCGGCGGAGGTTGTGGGAATGGTGCACGACCAGTCACGTGAAGCGGGCACGTGAAGCGACGGTGCAAAACATCACGCAGTGCAACAATGGAAGGAGAAGCTAGTCACTTCCCGGATGTCAGTCCAAAGCGGTTTTTTGGCAAGACTTCGGTTTGTGTTTTCGGTCTAGTGGTGTTTTTATATATTGGTATTTTACGTAAGTTGTTCAGTGCACCAGCAAGTCTCCAATTTAGACGATTGGAGACTTGTGCCAGTAGGTGCTCCCCAGGCAAGTAGCCTGCCGCGTGACCTATTCTAGAGGTTAAAGGTGCAGTTACTGGAGCACGTGCAGGAAAATGGCACGAATACTGCAGCGACACATGTCCTTGGTTATTGATTGGGATCTGGCGGCTTCCAAGGAAATGCTTCACAAGCGCATCCGTGCGGCGCAGCAAAATGAGCGACAGCATGCCAGGTCCAGCTTGCCTCGGAAACAAAGCCCGCCGCCTACGACCCTGGTCCACAGCACATAATAATGGGGGCGGGAATATGCCAGGACTAGTTGACATCGCCTCACGTCGCAGCTGCGAACGCCTTGGTACGTGTGCAGAAAATGGCAAGTCGGTAAGTCAAGGAAAGCCCGCTGCCATGAGCTAGGGAGCATTGAGCTGCGATGTAATAACCGGTCACTGCAATACGATAGCTATTGAGAGTACATGAGGTGGTAATCTATGGTAATAATAACCGTTCCGCCAATGGGGCACGCTGTGACGAGCAAACGCCAGGAGAAAAAAATAACCCCCTAGGTTGACCTTGAACGAATATATTACAACAGCGGAAAGGCCTACAGAGGGGACAAATTCAAGACGAATGAACACTCTAAGACACAGAAGCCGATATTAAATCCCCCGATCACTCTGTGACCAAGAGAAGAAGTCATGGGACTCCCCAGTCGTAAACGCAAGCAACGCATGCATGCATTAATGCATATACTCTCTGAGGGACATGTATTCCCCCTAGCCCGCCACGTGCCGTTTTGAGGCTGTCCAGCCAGCTTCCGTAGCTGGTGACGTTGATGTTGAGGATATCATGGCTGGTCGTGACGAAGACAGTCCACTCCCGCAGCCACGACTCAGTGTAGAAGTCCCCCTCCACGTAAGAGGAGTTCTCGAAGGTCTGCATCAGCGTCTCCACCTGCTCCTGCACCACCGGGTCGAAGTAATTGAGCTCCCCTTCGACAATGATCTGCGGAGAAACAAATAAGCCGTGAGTCAGAGTTTGGAACCTCGCTGTTGCCAGGGTGTCACCTGAGGAATGAAGACGCCGTCGACGATCAGACAATTCAGACAATCACGGAGCACCGTCAAACTGTGGCCAGCAAGGTCGGAATGCAAGCAATGCCTTGGCATGCACTGTTATGGAGCCGTGCGCTGAAAATGATGATGGGAAACGTGGCCAAGAGGTCGGAAAGTTCACTGCGATTGCTCTTTGCGATAGTTATGGGGCCGCGTCAAGGTTTCCCTTCGGAGCCTTCATCACCCCGTCGAGGATCAGCTCTTGAACTTCCCCAGGCGCATTTCAGTCTGCACACCACTGAATATCGCTCATGTTAAGCCTCAGAACCGTTCTATGCATTGCTCGTTCGTGTGCTGTGAGCACTAATGGTTTGCTCGTTCGTGTGCTGTGAGCACTAACGGTTGCCATTTCAGTGCGCAAGTCCATGTGTGCTTTTCTAGCACCGAAGCAATGCATGACGCCCCCTTGCATAATGCATGGGCAATGCCATTTCAGACCGACGCCGGGCTTCCCAAGACACAGCCAGCCACACAGGCTTCGGTTGTGGTCCCCACCTGGCTTCGCTTGTCTTCCTTCCCTTAGCAACGGATGAGGCAATCGGGTTACGAGACTCCACTGGCCATCCTCATCGCCATTAGCCGTCAGCCGCGCGTTCAGACCGGACCTGGGACGCCTAAGCTGCTCTCAGGATCCGAGTCAGACTGCTGTGTCAGCGCCCTCAGCTACCGTCCTGCAGCGGCGACAGTCACCATGCAGCCCGCTGCGCCGCATCTCATGCATACCAGTCCATAGCCCGACGACCCGCGCCGCCGTCTGACCGGGCGTCCCAGCCGGTCCGTCCAGCGGCGGCAGAGTAAGATCGATGCTATCGCGTCTCCAGCGTGCGCGCCGGTCGGCGGAAACGTCTGCACGTGCGGCCGTGCCACGGCCTTGACCGCGACCACGAGGTCATGCATTCCGCCGCTCCTACAACCGCTCCGTCGCCATGGCGCTGTGGGGGGGGGGGAGGGGTGTCTGGGATAAACGTGCAGGTCAGCGAACCCACCTGAACCCGATACGGGTGCTCCCTGAAGTACTTGTCCTCGACGTCGTAGAACTGGACCGAGTAGGAGTTGTCTTTGGAGAGTCGCCGGCGCTCGAGGCCCTCCTTCACCATGGTGCAGCCCCAGATGGCCACGCCCAGGTAGACCAGGAACACCATGATGACGAACGCTGCGGCGAGAGCGGCGCGCTTAGCACGGGGCTGCGCAGTGACGCACCACGGGCGCGAGCGCGAGCAGAACACACACACCAGCACCGGGATTTATTTAGACAACGGGTCACGGTGGCCGCTGAAGGGACGTTTGTGGGCTTAGGCAAGACATCCCTACGCGTATCCCTTTAACACGCATGTATGCATGCATAATAAATGGTTCGCTCAAGTACCCACAGTTTTGCCTACCGATGCACCTATTGACCAAACGCCGCACGCGTGCACTTACTATTTTCGGTAGGCTGGTGAACGTAACAAGCAGACAAGGAAGCCACAGTTTCTACGTACTAAGCCGGGAAAGAGAACGTTCAACTACTGCGTGCACTTGAGCGTTGCGTTTGATGAGACGATTTTAACACACGAATGTACTTTTCGTGCGTGTTCTTAGAGTGAGCGTCACCGAGCAGCCAGGATTCATTACCAACAAAACGCTAGCAACTATTCCGTACATTTTCGAAGGAATGGCCAAGCTTGCGCTGAGTGAACCTTCCACTATGGTAATACGTTTGTCGTGAGACCATATATGCGTTATGTTTTAGAGCGTCATTTCAGTTGTGTGAATATCTACATATCCGTTTAACGACGCGTAGTGAGCCTTTAATCTTTTGTGAGCCCTCATACACACGCGGCTTGTGACAAGAGTAATGTCAACAGTGGAAATCGTTAAGGCACAGAGCGCCTTACCTTTTATGGCGGGAATGTTCAGAAGGCGCGCCACTCCGTCCTTGAAGAACACCATGATAACATGGTCTTTGTTGTCCTTCTTGTTCCATGGGTCTGTCTTTGATATTCCCCCCGAGCAGAACATGCGATACCAGATGGACCGGTCCTCTGCGAACATGTAAAACAGCCACGAGCTGTGCGTGTGCTCGGCATGGAGATCCCTAGCTTGATCAAGCTGTTGTGGTATGGTTTAACTCGTGGATGTAACTCGACATGCGCGCCATAATGTCGCCAGTGATAAATAAAACTGCAGCAGAAACGTAGGGTTTTTCTTCTCAAAAATGCTTGCGGTATAAAAGCATGCACATTTGATGTACGCAAATCGTCCAGATCATGTAGTCTGAGCACCAAGTGCATGCATGACGTACGATTTAAAACCTTGCCTCACCTAAAACCTTACAAAATCAGAGCAGTTGCGAAGCAAACTAAAGGATCATATGCAATAAACTCCAGAAGTCGTCCTGATGTAGATTCGGGGTTACCTTAATACAGTTTAAGCACTCTAATTTTGGTACCTATTGGTTATCTGCCAGGCTGGTAATTTTCATATATTTGAAAGAAGCCGCTGTTTCTAAAATATTTATTTATTTGAATTTGGGTACTATGGGCGTTGTGCGGACAAAATTGAATTAAAATCCAAATGTACCCCTCAGTGACATTTCAAAGGTCCCCTCTGGACGCCCGGCCACCTTTCCATGTCGAGCATACCGCTAAGCCCGACATCTGGCGGTCTAGGCGAGGAAAGTGTGCGGCGCGGTGCCAAAGCCAACCGACGCCTGCCCACTCAACATTAATGCCAATCACTCCCCGCGAGCCACTGATGCGACGGGGCCATCGTCTAATGAGGCCATGTCCGGCGCCGCCGCCAGCATCCCCAACAAAGGTCAGGTCGCCGGCGAAGAAGTGGTTCCGGTTTTTGCGAGCGGTGCTGAAAACCGGCCGCACGGCGGGTCAGGCGACAAGCCGTGACCTCGGCCATTCATCGGCGGACGGCAAGGTCAGCAGGTCAGCCTGCCGGTGGTCCGGTTGACCATCGGAGGTGGCGAAATGCAGTCACAGGCATATGGCGATGTGGCATCATCGCCACATGGCGATGATGTGTTATAAGTTCAGAGGTCTCGAGCTGTGATATCGACGTTCAGTATACTGAAAGGTACCGGAGAAACGAACGTTGCGCGAGCGTCTATGGCCTCCGCTCACTTGCGGTTAGACGTGTTTTGGAAGCTGGAGTTGGCGTTAACCACGTCGCGTTTTTCACGGTCTTCGCTCGAAACAAAGTCCGAAATGGAGCTTACACAACACCGAGTCACGCCAGACGGTCCCACGCAGCACGGATATCTTGCGTAAATGGCGCCGGAGATGCGTGAGCGATGCCGGGGCACGAATGTAGACGACACTGACTAACCAAAGCTGCCAAAGGCAGTTTGTTCACGCGTCCCGCGGGAACCGCCATACATAAAAGGGATACCTGCAAGGATACCATCAAGACCTGCAAACTACCGACCACTCCCTGCATTACCTCCGTGACAAGGGCAAAGACAAGCTAACTGACCAAAGACAAGCTCTGGTACGTAAACCGCGAGCTCTCGCCCCCGGGCTCCGGGGTGTCCGGCACAGGACACCAGGCGAGCCACCGGGTCCAGGGCAACTGGGCAGAACACGAGCGCCCCTGGCGGCCGGTCCCGGACGTGCCGATGACGCGGGCGCCCGGAAGCCGGCGGTCCCCGCACACCTCCAGCCTTGGACCAGCCGCCACGGGTGGTGTGTAATCCACCCGGTGACCCCGGCCAAATGTAGATTGTGGCCGACGGCGCTAAACGGCCCCGGTCGGCTCGGTTAGGACCGTGGCGAGCCCGCCAGCGCTATATCACCGGCTGCTATATCATCCACCGGCGCTATATCACCGGCTGCCGGCTGACCCCAGCGCTTGACCACCGCGGGGCGGCGGGCACGTCGAGGGTGTGTCGGCGCGTTTTGGCACGGTTCTGGGTAGCGCTGGACGCTCCAGGAGAGAGCGCGTTTACGACGGCTGAATTGGAAGGCGCGGCACGCCTATGTTTCATTATGTCGACATGCTCACCAGCTCATGGAGCAAATGAAAGCCACTCGCCGGTATTAACTACTCGTGCCCCATCACTCCATGGTAAAGACTCCATCCACGCGGGATTGCAGGGGTTACCGCTATTCTGACGATTAATGAGCGGCAGCATACAATCGCGACAGTACCAAGCGCCCAGCTGTGGGGCCACGCTAGCACGGGACTTAGAACCGAACGCTGACGACAGCCGGCGCCAAACGACTCGTCAGCGGCGCCGCGCACAGCCGCGGTCTGCACCGCAAGAACCTCTGCATGTATGCTGTCACCGCTGGTCACCCTGGCACCATTCCGTCGAGCTGGGCCGACTGGGAAGTCAGGAGTCGCCAGCCGCTCAACTGGGGCAAGTGGCCATTCATCGCTGCCGCAGGTGACATTTGCAGGTGAGGAATGGGACCGGCTGGGGTGGAATGTCACCCTGGCGGCACACGCGTCTGCAGCGGGTGCTGCACCGCTCGCCGGCCGGGGAGTGCATCACCCTATGACGTCACGCCGACGTCATGGGTAAGGGAGGATTCTAAAACCGGACCGTGGGAACAGGCCAAATACTGGCCGCTAGCAAGCACTGGTGGAGGGATGCGTGGGTTGAAAGCGACGATATACATTGATGTCGCGAATACAAAGAGCGGCATCTCCGTAAAAGTGGTAGTGACGCCTAGTCCATCGACAAAGACCTTGTTTTATTTCGATGCATAGCAAGTTACAGTATGGTCTCCTGATTTATTCGGTGTATTGTTTTGTCAGGAGTTTTCTCGCCTCCATATAACAACTCTACCAAATTCAGGTGCTGACTGTAGGCCTATGAGAGGTCAGTGTCCCGTAGTGCTACTTTCGTCACGGCTGCGTTTGGTTCATAAGGTCACGGCCGGAGGCAAAATGGTAATGATAAAAGTGCTACTTCAGGAGCTCCAGATCTACTGCGGTTGAAAGCCGCGTTCTGGAATTTGAAACAGTCATTTTGAGAAACAAAATGATTGATGATCTGTTCTGGCAAGTCTGAGAGCTTTAAGGCATAAATATGATGTATGCATGACGTATGAGTCAACCACGCATAGAGGAGTGAACAGTGGTAAAGCTTCAGGTGCACCTCATGCGCGAGCGATGAACGGAACAAACTTAATTCGGCAAAGGTGTCGAAATGAGCGTCTTTCATTACAAAAATTTCAGAGCTAGGCTGACTTCCATGACAGCTGGTGTGGCCGCTGCCACATGCCATTCTACACCATTGGCTGCACACTGTTGTCTGTTCAGTTTAAGAGGAGGTAGATCTCCAACATATTTCTCTGTTGGGCTGGACAACGTGCTAACCCTCTTGAACACCCGTGACCTGTTTATTGCGCAACATCGCGTAGTGGTCTAAGCTCAGCCATTCAACCCATCGTTGACTTGGCCTTCCAGACAATAGAAGCCCTCAAGACAGCAAATGTTTGTGGTTAATGACTAGTGCATACAACGACTTGACAAGACTGCAAGGTTATCATGAACATTGGATAGCAGCCAGAGTGCTCAGGTAACCTGGTGTGGGTCGATCCGTACTGCTGACCCTGTGACCCAGCATGACCCCGCAGGCACAACGCTGTTGACCTTCCATGACCTAATCTGGACGTCAGACGCTATGACCAGTCTGACCGGAGGCGGCGCACTGACCTGACTCTGAGACGGGGAGCACGGGCGCGAACGTGACGCTATGCTGACCGTTCTCCTCCATGTAACCGAAGAGCGCCATGCACGCGCCGAAGAAGGTGATGTGCCAGAGATAGGTGAGCACCACTGACATGCCTGCAAAACGAGGAAACGGTCAACAAGAACCGGCAAAGCCGCCACACGGGAGAGGCAAGCACACGTCAAGAGTGACGAATTATGGCTGAATGGGAATCTCCCCTGCCGACTTAATCTAAAACACTGCACATAAAGACACTTAACGTGCATCACTTTCGTCAGTGTGTAGCACTAGGCGACACGATGGAGTTAAATGGAAATAAACAAGGCAATAATTGCGTTTGTCCAAAAGCCTCCATCCTCACTTGAGTGATTCCGTCGCCACTGGCCAAAAAACAAACTTTCAGATTGCAACGACGCTGACGCCAGAGAGCAAGACCGACCTGAAATTCACGGTCGGCACATTGGGCGCCATATGGCCATCATGTCAGCAGCTGCTGCCTTATTTCGCCACCTGACCGACTGCCTGGCAGTCAAGACACAGGTGGGCTCACCATCGACTTGTTTGAAAAAGTGGGCACAATTAGACGAAAGTGCTGCTGCTGGCTTGGTCTCAAGGTCCAAGAGGTAAGCGCGCGATTCATTTGATGGAGCGGAATGCAAAGCGTGCCCACACTCGGCGTACAGTGTCACGTGCGAGCATGTCGCTAAATATTGTTCGCTGCGAGTGTTTAACTTAAATCAGTGACGCTGAGGAAATGGATAAGAGGCAGGTGTTTGACGGTTTGTCGCAGTGATGAACATGAGTGCTTTGCATAAACATTTAGCTCTCTATAAACGTAACAAATGTGTATGATTCACAATAGGATGTTAACGTCTCTACCAAAGGCTGTGTGACAGCATGATACAGCTTACTTGTGCGGCCCGTTGGTATCAGAAGTCCGTGAACAGTTCGCTGTCACAGAGCAACGGAGCTGCCCAGGGAGAGACCTTCAATCCTGTGCCCAGTTCACATCTGATCGGCTCACAGCCAGGTCAGCCTGGTGTCACAGACCGCCGGCGCCTGCTGTAAGCACCGCCCGCCCCACTGGCACACCGCACGCCGCTCGGGGACCCCGCCTGCGGTTCCGCGCATGATCGCCCTGCAATGTCGGGTCGGCCGCGGGCCAGCCGCCGCGCCTCGCCCGCCACACCCAGCACCCCCCTCCCCCCCCCCCGTGCCGCCGCCCCGACCCGGCCGTATGAGGGCAGGTCGGATACAGCCGGCGCCCGGCGGCGCGTTGTGCAATAGTGGACCTCTCGGCGGGCTGGGCCAGACGGTGACCTTGGCCTCGGGACGGCACATGTGAACGAGACGAGCCGGTCAGGGGGGGGGGGGCACCACCCCGGGTCAGCAGGTCTGTCTGCCGTGAGCAGAATGGTACCCCATAGCACTGCCAAGGCTAATTGAACAGACCCGAACAGCTGGTTCGTACCGACGTGCGATTTGCATACGTGTCCCCGTTTCGAACAAGCCGGTTCCGAAGCTGAAATTACACTACAATGAGATCGCCTGAGACAGGCAGTCACTGGCAGTGATGTGTAGGTCGTTGGGAAGAGGTAGGGGTGCGCTGGGTGGGCCCAAACCACAGTCCGGCAGCTTTCAAATAAGTGAAGGGGATTGGCAGTGTGACAATAATAAATATAGTTATTGATTCCCAAAGACAACAGGACTCTTACTTGAGGAATTAAAGCGACAGAACACCTCCTTTGTGAAGAAAAAGAGTTAAAGACCCTTTTGTCTTCACAAATAAACCAGGCATGTTCGGTTTCTTTTAGTAAGTCAATTAGTTCATATTTCAAGTCCCAACCATCAAACTCAAGTCCTCGTTCTTCTCTCATCAATTAATATATGTGAGAAAAAACTGGTCAAACCACGTGATCCCTGCTCGACGTTAAAACGTTTGTAGCCATAACACCAGTTACAGGTTATCATTCCACCCTCATCTGCACGTCAGTAGCGCCTCACGGGCATTCCTTGAACACATTACACGAGAAAACGATAGAGGGGAAGGAAAGGTTCAAGGGCTGTTAATAAATTACACCACAAATGTTGACAATTTTTCAAACTTTTCTTCCCCCTGGTCACGCACTGGTTACGCAGGGCGAAGCCCCTCATTCTGGTTACGCTGTGCTAAGCGTAACGTCACAAAAAGTAGCGTTTCCTTGGCCCCTAGATGAACTTTAGATGCGCAGTAGATAGCAGGTGTGTTCCTGTCATGAGAGGAAGCCAACAATATCTAGCTTCAGCTTAATCTTGTTTTCGCTTTTTCCATTATTTGCGGCCACACCTGTGCATAACTACCAGGCTGCTCCGAGCCTCCCCTCCCTGTCTTGTTACGCTTCCGCCACGCTACGTCATCCTCGAAACCCACCCCACCCCTTCCCCTCGTAATGTACTTTGCGGACGACCCCACACCGCCATCCACATCGTTCCCGTTCTGGCTGCTCATCGCATACGCCGCATTACTTGCAGCGACTCGTGACCCTGGTATTATAGATTAGTTCAGAATCTGAAGCTGGTCCACTGACACACATGACACGTACATCGTCCACACGCGGCGTGAGTAGGCTGGACAAGCATCCCTTGGTGCCCGCCTCACGCTATTTATAGCAACGTTCCATCTCACGCATGCCTGTGACTTGCAGTAGCTGCTTTTTGAATTGGCCCTCAATTTGGACACTAACGTGACCACCATTTAACGCACTGGTGACACCGACGTCGTTGCGGAAACCTTTCTTATAGTGAACTCCGTAAGTGCCTTTTCGAAGGACTGGCACTGCCCACCTCCGGACAATGCACCGCGGTGATTTTATCCCGGTGTACTGATCTTGTTCCAAACCCCGCTGGTCTCAAGGATATCCATTACTGAACCGAAACAAGACTTCCCAACGCCGATTCTTCAAGCGTACAGAATGACATTTACCCCGGAACCAGCTGCTATGAAAACAGATCCACTACACAGCTCCGGAACGCAGCCTTATTCGGCTACGGACGCTCTTGTATTGCCGGGACAGAGGAGCGGGCTGCCACATCCCGCGCGCCGCGTCGGGCACCGCGTGCGTGTCATCCGCGCCTGCGCCTCGCGCGCCCGTCAGCGTGCCACGGTGAAGCAACCTCACTTAGCATACAGTCGTGGCGCGGCTGCGGCGGCGGCGGCGCGGGGTCGCCGACACGGCGGGATGTTGACGAAAACAGCGCGCGGCGTCTTGCCGCCGGCGACACCCCGGTTCGCTTCCTGAGAGGCGGCGCCGGCGGGGGCCGGCGGCCCGCCGCGCGCGGCGGAGGTGGGCGGCGGAAGCGTCAGCAGCTGCTGGCCCGTCCACGGAGCAAGCTCGGGCAGTGGGCGGTGCGTGACGTCACCGTCATTTGTACGCGACACGGCCGGGCGCCCCGAGCGAGGCTCGCCGCTGGGGGCCGGCCTTTCAGAGAGGCGGAGTGGTGAGCCTGCTCGGGATTGGAGCCGATGACGCTCGGATAGCCAGACTCGTGGCCACACGCACCTGAAGTCCGCTCACCACGCGTTTCGTCGGACAGCAGTGGGGCGAACGATCGGCTGCATGGTGGTGCGCCTGGTGACTAAGGTGGCAAGCTTTAACGAAACACAACGGCCACCAGACGATTACCAGTGTTTTCAATCGCGTCACCGCGCAAAAAGTGGGTTTTTCCAGCGCCAGTGTTTATTGCACATTTAGCCATGCCATCTGCCCGTCATTTGCGTCAACACCCTCCGGCGATCACCTGATGCTGGCGGCTGGCCTTCCGGAACGCTGGCCGCCCATGCTCGGGCTCTGCAGCTCCCCGGCCATCTGCACCCGGACCGGGTGCAGCACGCAGCTCACTGCGCGGCGACCGAGCATTTTTCCAATTACCCGTCTCGGCTGGGTGCGGTAATGCCAAAACGGCTTGTAAACAAGGCCGGAGCCATCGGCGGCGGGCACGAAGGCTGGGCGTCCGCTGACGAATCTGAAGGTCAGGCAGCTACCCAACTGCCCTGCGGACACGGCAGGCCGTGAGGATCACCAGGTCCTCGCGGCGGACGCGGAGGTAGGAGAGGGAGGAGGCGGATCACTGGAGCAGGAGCGCTGGCATTTCCAAATCGGCGCCCTGAGGTGAGCACCCTGCACACCCGAAGCACGTGCGTCGCAGTTTATCAGCGCGACGGCTGATGCTGTCAAATGAAAACGCCGACATAACATACTCAAGAAGGTACCATTAAAACCCCAATAGCATTTCAAGGGTAGCCCAGGAACGTGCGGATCCGCTTATAACCAGTCTGTATAACGACGCCTCAGCGTCGCCTGCTGTTCCCAGCTGCGGTTCTGCGGGCTAAGCTTCCCAGGCTTAAAAAGACGGCAATGCTGCAGTTGGGATTACGCGGACGTGCAGACAAAGCAGCCGGTCCAAATATTCCACACACATGCCTTGGTAAATATGAGAATAAATGGCGTCGAAACCAGGCTGTTGGTATCGCCAAGCAGTGAAAGTAAAAAAGAAGAAAAGTTTCAGGTAGAGGTGTCACTTTAGCGCACTCACCCGATGACGCCGCCCGATAAACGAAAACCAGTCAACTGCGAAATGTCCCTATGCAAAGTACAGACATATTGGTTTCACAACGGTTTGGGTCACTCTACCAAACCAGAGCATAACAGAGCAACACAAGGACACTACTTGAGGGAAGCGTTCCCTGTGCACAAAAGTAGCATCGTTACCGGTACTGGGGAGTCCTACGAGGCAGATGCATGGCGTAATTTCTGTGCTGTCGTAAAGGCTGCAACGCACCAGGCGGTTTTATCTTCGAGACGAGGTGCAGGCGAGTAAGACAGTAATTTAGGAGCTTCAAAAGCGTGAATGTCTGCGATCTCATACAAAAACAAACATTTCAGGGTGATATCTGCGCATCTCGTGCACATCGTGCATGGGGCATCATGGGTAAAATGATTACAATTTTTGTCGCGGCTTTGTTGCCCAGGCCTTACTTACCTTACCTTACTATGCCTGAAGAGCCCGCAGATTTGAAGGCCGTCCGAAATTAGTTAATACGTATTTGACAGCTGAAAGTAGGTGTTAAACTGAGTGTTTTCTCGCGCGAGGTCAGTGACCGGTGTCTCCTCGCGACCTCACGAGGTCAGTGACCGGTGTCTCCTCGCGACCTCACGAGGTCAGTGACCGGTGTCTCCTTGCGACCCCACAGCCACCACACTGCTATGTGCCTCCGTTTTTAAGCAGGAGATTGCCTTTTATGTCTGGTACCATTTTGTGTACCGCGCGCAACAACATGCCTGCAGCAACATTGCCAAGATCTGTCAGCGGAGCAGTCCCCTCTGGCCGGGCCCATCTGGCTGCAGCGTCGGCTCCGGCAAAATCCGTTGCCGTGGCAGAGCGCCATGGCGTTTGGCAACATGACAACACCTATCCTTTCCTTCAGCTTATTGACCGTCCGGTAATTTGTCTGGTAATTTGTCCGTCCCTATAGCTGATTCGTTGGATCACATGCCTCCCAGCTCACCCACATGGGGAGTGGTGGATACGAGTCGCTTTAAACGCTTGCTTCTTGCACTTGTTCAAACGACGCAAAATTCCGCCATTGACCCGAAATTTCACGGGTGGGTGGTGGGATCAAGACCCAAGCAGCAAGCAGTGCTTAACCAGGGCGTTGATTTTAGAAATCCATTCAATCTCAAGGGTTCGAACTAAATTTTGAAGACAAAATAGCCGTGAGACAACAGGCCGAGTAAGTTCGTTTTGAGCGATTGTAACATTTTGAGTTATGCGGCCAGGCCCAAGCCGGTTCGGGTATCGTGCTCTTAGTAAGCTAATATGCCTACAACCACTGATTTCAGAATCATGCAATCTTAAGCAGCATGGGGCACAATTCTATAGCACTTGTGTTTGTTCGGCATAAGCACACTGCACGGTGTTGGCGAATGCACCGGCTACAGATGACCGTCGGGTCTCAGAACTATCCGGTCCGTGCATGCTCCAGTAAACGAACGGAGAGTAACCAATGCTTCCGTTTCCGAAACCGCTCTCGAATATTATAAGCAGTGACCTACACCGAAATAATGGCCTATGCCAATTTGCTGTTAGCTGGCCAAGGCCAATTACGTTGTGTTTGCTGTCAGTCCTGTTTACTATGACCAACATTCAGCTATGATACTTGGTTTTTACAATACTTCGGTTATAATTTCCAAACACCTGTATATCACTGCAAACTCATCGATGTCATGGATCAAAATCGCTAGCCCTGATGACACTCATGCTTACTACAGTTGGGAGTTCTTATGCTTAAAAAGATCACCCCCCCCCCCAATATACTTCAGGATAAGGGCACGTTTATCATGTTGAGTCTTCAATGAAACGTAGCTCTACACTTGAAACGTTACATATGAATGCAACACTACACCTGAATCATTGCACTCAATATGTCCAATGCTTGCTCAATAATGTCCCCTGACCCGTACCTCTAGTGACATTGAATGCCGATTTTGTTCAGCATAAGGACACTAAACTCTTGCCAGGAACGCAGAAGCTCTAGACCTTTCCTGCTCCACTCGCTTACATATCAAACTCATTGCCGGCCGTTTCACGAGCAATGCCATTGGTGCGTTAGCGTGCGTCTTTTACGTCAGTGAGGCTCCGCCCGTCAAATTCCCATAAACACGAGGACTTTCTAACGCACTGGTGAGACCTACTAAACCCGTTGCTGAAGATGTCTGTATTCATTAGCTTAATGTGTGGCAAAGCTGCATGATTACGACGGGCAACCCTCACAGCCGTTAGGGCCAGCTGCTCTCCCGCGCTGCACAAGGCCTCCTACCAACTTAATTCCTTGTTTTGTGATGCGAATGCCTCTTTAACATTTTAGGGAGTGTATGAAGACTGCACACCATGATTGGCTGCTTCGGTGAAGAAAATGTCATTACAGTTCCGGTATCAGCGTTTAAACAACTAGTGCTTGACAGTGGCCAACATGAGCGGGCTCAGCCTTCTTCGCAGTTGGTGGATCAAGCCACTGATAATGCCTCCGTGTATGGGATCTCATACGACTACACCAGTCGACTCAAGATTGCCGACATGAGCAGCCTCGGCCTTCACATGGACGACTTGCATCGGGGGATTAAGGGACACCCCCGGCCTGTCCCGCCCTCCAGCGCAGCGTCTCAAGGCCAGTCTTTAGAACGATGTCTGGAGGACGGAGGCCCGCGAAGGGAGGAGAGGGTAGACCTCGGGCGGCCCACGTGGCAACGTGCGCTGCAAGCATTGCCAACAGGATGCACATATCAGCCTCGCCCGTGAGGCCCAGAGGGGCGATGTGACCTTGCTAAGGACTGAACATTGGCGTCCAGTGTTCCAGTGTTATGGCTTAACCTGTTTCAAGATCTCCCGCTGCGGGTGCCGCACGTGGGGCCCCACGTAGGCTGTCGACGCCTGTCGCCGCTCAAAGCCGACGGCGGCGGTATTCTACAGATTTTTTTCTTCAGGGAAAGGTTTCACCCTAAAAAATATGGGATTCGGAACTGATAAGGCCAGCTCGTGGAAAACAGAAGGAAATTCACAATTATATCTTTATTGGCGCCTAAACCATTGGGCTCCATGAAGGTAAGGCATGGAAATGTAGGATTGAAGGTAATTACCTCGGCATATACCTCGCTGTGGGCATAGATCAAGTATGACATAATCAGCGACACCATAGACAGCGCAGAAAAAGCCTTGATTGGCTGACGGATGTTATGTGGAGTTTTTATGAGTTTATATAATAAACCCCCTATTTACAAATGCGCTAGATAAGGCAGCGCCATAAAATTCGAAAGCTTTCAGAATGTAAAGTATGATCGATAACGAAACACCAAACCCCGCCGCAGGTCAAAAAGGGGGCTGTGTATGATAATCACCAGAGGGTCTCTACAGTATACGCATTGGCGGTATTTCACGTGTTCATCGTTGATATTGATCGATGACATTACCCATTATCGCCCTAAGAGTACCTCTCTATAGACCGCGACGCCGCTTCATGCATGGATACGATGCTGGCTTGGATGGCCTCCATGCGATCTCTGCTGACCTTCTGGTCTGAAGGACTTGTTTGCGACGAACCGTTTTACTTTGTGTGTAAGCACCTTTCTCAAGGACTGTTCACGGAATAGTTCCCCATCCCGGAATGTCCCACCGCGCAGACGGCGCTAATTCAAGGCAAGGATGAGAGCCGCCGCACACGACACGGCTGACCGATTTAAGGGTGGCGAATGACCGCTTTCTTTGTCTAAATGACCGCTCTCTTCGTTTTAATCGGGATCAGTTACCGCGGCACCAGCCCGATCCAAGTGCCGGCGATTGGGGGATGCGAAAAATGTGTAGGGGCGGTGGATTTAATGCACGCAGGAGCTATCGGAAACTGTTTCCTTGAAATAATATAAACGCGGTCAAGGCTATGCGCTGTTAATGACAGCACTTCAGGTCTTCAGGGGCAACGCGCGGAGATAAGATCAGAATACCGGGTGGCTCCATAGCGCGCCATACAGGTCCGTCCGCCACCACAGCAGCAGGCGAAAGCGCGTGAGATCAGTCGAGGCCCCACTCACCGTCAGCACGGCTTCATGGTAAAAACGTGATCGCCGCACATGCATTCGTGCACAGTCGTGATGATGTATGTGCGCACGTGTAGCCTCGACAGACCAGGCCTCATCGGCCGCTATATGGTCGTATGTATACGCCGACACGAGTCTGTGATGGATCGTCTCCATCCACAGACTGGTGGCGGCGTCCTACCAACGACACCGTGCCAAAAATCTCACCAAGGGTGACCGCCCGGGACTTGCACGCGGTGTACCGCCGCCAAGACCGCCGCGAGATGGCAGCCGTCACTCACCGGTGTAGACGCAGAAGATCTGGACGCTGGGAAAGGGCGTGATGGCGCCGACCCAGAAGGAGAACATGTCGGTGAGGGATGTGATGGTGATGGAGACGGCCGCTTCCTCGTACGCGTGCGACAGCCGCTCTGGCACCGAGTCCTGGATCCGCGTCCGCCGCCACGCCGCCAGCATCACGAACGTGTCGTCAATCCCGATGCCTACGGAGAAGGAGACGCCGGTCAGGCTGGCGATGAAGACGTGGCCGATGCACGTCTGGGTACAGGGCACGGCGGGAGCGCGGGCTCCTCAGGGGCGAGAGGACGCCGGTCAGGCTGGCCATGAAGACGTGGCCGATGCACGACTGGGGACAGGGCACGGCGGGAGCGCGGGCTCCTCAGGGGCGAAAGGACGCTGGACGCGTGGTGAGTTGGGAGCCTGAAGGAGATTGTGACGAAGCGGTGCTGGTGGACGGACGGTGTCGGTCAGCAGGAGCTACGCGAAGGGCGTGGCCAGTGACGCCTGGCCTCAGAGGGTGGTCGGCAACCGGGGTCAGAAGGTGGATGCCGCGATAGAACTCCGCGACCGTACGGCACACGGAATGCAAGCAGAGGCAACCTTCATACCTGATGCATGGCTTGAGATTGCACGAAGACGGCTGGCTGAAGGTCAGCATACAGTCACGATTGTTGTCAGTTCCTTTCGACGAATCACAGTACATCATCTAAGGATGGCTTGAGACGCCCATAAGCATAAACAGATAGCGTACGAAACGAGCAGCTTCGTCCTAAAGAGACACCGGGACACGGCGCCGCTGCTTTCGCGAGAGCTCTGAGAGAGGCGGAGGCACAGGAGCAGGTTACAGGCTAGCGTTGCACCAGCACCGGCCCGAGCGGCGTTTCACCACGCGTCCGTAGCGGACAGCCGGCTGGCGTCGGCCGGACGGGTGGGCCAACAGCGTGACCACGAGGCGCCAGCCAGCGCGTGCCCATCACCGCCAACCGTCACACTCGTCGGCAGGGCCGACCGCGTCGCCGCTCACCGATGACACTGTTGGGCAGCATTGACCGGTCCGCTCGGCGGCTGCCGCTCGAGCTTCTCGGCCCCGGCGAAGGAAGCCGTCACGGACCGGCGTCCCGACCTGCCATGCCCGCTCCGGGCTCCTCCCTCGGACGGGTGGGCTCCACGGCGCGCGTCTTAGTGTTGTCCTCGCAATCAGCCGCCGGTCCGGTAAAGAAGCCGGCATATGTCGCCGGATGGACGTGCGTCATCCAAGCACCGTGGAGAAGGCACCATGCATGGTAAGTCTAGCTCTGTTGCCAGGCCGCGGCCATCCGGTGCTCACTTATCAATGAAGGAGATAACAGTGCCAGGAGTCAAGGCCGGCGGCCGCAAAACCAGCTTCCACCCCTCCGCCGATCACAACCGGCCTTGCCGGGGCTGCCATCTGCCGGCCGATTGATTGACGCCCTCACGCTCGGCGGACATTCACGGTCGCATACCAGGTGGATCGCGGCAGATTACGCCGCCCTGTTGTGGTCGGTCAGCGTCCCGCCCGACCCAGCGAGGAAAACACACACCGCCCGCGGAGGTAGCGCCGGGAGTAATGCGGGTCAGGGGACGGCGGGCGGCGTGTCTCCTTCGAGCGCCGACATCGCGCAGAGGGCGCAGGTCTGGGACGTGCCCCGCCCCGGTCACGCTGACGCGTTGAGAGCAGGCGCGTAGGGGCGGGGAGGGGCGACGACCTGGCTGGGATGTCCTTCGCGTCCGCGATGCACGGGTTGAGAGCGGCCCGATCCGTGCAGCAAGATGACACCAGATAGTGCGGGCACCGCCCTTTGCAACAGATCACAACAGCTCCCACTGCACGCCTGCGCGCTGATGGCCTAATCTCCGGTCCGGCGACTCCAAGTATCCATGGGGCTTACGCGGAAAAAGCACTGCTCCGTACTACAGGCGCGCTGTCGACTTCAGTTCACGGGGGATGTCGATGCACTGAATGCCGAGTGCGTGGATCCAGGTGCACTGAATGCCGAGTGCGTGGATCCAGATGCACTGAATGCCAAGTGCGTGGATCCAGATGGACTGGATGCCGAATGCGTGGATCTAGACACACTGAATGCCGAATGCGTAGATCCAGATGCACTGAATGCCGAGTGCATGGATCCAGATGCACTGAATTCCGAGTGCATAGATCCAAATGCACTGAACGCCAAGTGCGTGGATCCAGACGCACTGAATGCCGAATGCGTGGACCCAGACGCACTGAATGCCGGGTGCGTGGATCTAGGTGCACTGAATGCCGGGTGCGTGGATCAGCACAGGCCACACCGCTCAGCCACGCCATGAATTGGCGAGGCTTAACACAGCGTAGCTGCAGAATCGGCGTGGCTGAGCTCAGGATCGCCCCAGATTCGCCGTTCAGTCACCAAGCAAGCATTTCAGCTATCGATGTTCTGGAGGTCAAGAGGTGAATAGGGGCGTCGTGACACACGACCAACAAAACGCAGCCACTCGTAAGAGCGACTGCGGCCGAGGGACTTCTCGAGCGCTGCGAGCATAAAGGCGGTGTTCACAGCGTAAACCCGCTCGCATCTAGCCGGTTCCGGCTCTGTGCAGAGGCTCGCACCTGCCGACAGTTATATAACACTGCGCCGCCACTTATGTAATAGGCCGTTATTGCTGCGATTCAGATCACAACCTGGCGCTGCTCCCTATCTTATGCTTTTACAATGCTCCTCTGCTTGTCATTTCCGAAACTGCGACGTCTTTCATGTCGTTGCGATGCAGTTTGCTGCACATGGAGCGCAATGTCCGTATATAAATGGACATCGGTCTGTAACGCGACAGGCAGTGTCGGCCGGCGACAGATGCTTCCGGTGCTCAGGAGGAATGAGGAAATTGACGTGACGGGAGTGATGCAACCACTGAGATCCCACCTCGCACTCGCCGTTATGCTGCGGCGCGAGCGACATACCTTATGGCAAAATCATCACGATACCTGCCACTAATTTTTGGGTTGGTGGCGCAACCGAAATTGAGCCGCCATAGCCTAGCACAACGGGAGGGAAATCACGTGCCACAGCCAACAGCCATCGAACGTAACGCGTTGACGAAGTGGGGAGCGGCTGATGCCGACCTTGTAACAATGGCTGGCTCAGACAGCAGTTTCAGTTTGGGGTTCACGCTCAGGTGCTGAATGCCGTCGGCCCGCCGCCAGTCCCGAAGAACACCGCCTTCTACATCCGCCCCGCACCGGCGGTCACATCACCCTGCAGCCAGCGCGGTGACTGGCTGAGCGCGGCGGGTGCCCTCTTGCCCGGGTGAGGGGCGGCGCGGGTCGGCACCGGGGGTGGGGCGGGGGTCGCCAGCTCCCGGAACCAGTACCGCATGCCAGCTCTGCCGGCCGAGAGCTGGCCTCGACGGATTCAGGTAGGCGAATGGAGGGCCACCCAGAAGCGGGGCTCTGACGCGGCCCAGGAGGAGGTTCCTAGGGGCGTGTCCCACCGCCTCGCTACACGTCCCAGAGGCCTGATCTGGCGGCTTCTCAGATCACGCGTGCTCGAGGCCGTCCAGGTTGCCGGCAGACCTGCACTCTGATCCCGCCCTCGGTTGCCGTGCTCCGGCGCGCAGCTAACGTCCCCAGCGCCCGCTGTCCCGCCGCCAGACATGAACGACCGCACTGGCTCCAGCAGGGCCGGACACCGGCTGGAAGCGCCCGCCTGGGAAAGCCCGCCTGGGCATGAGCACGCCCTCGTCAGCCGCAGGGTCAACAGTGATCGGCCGGAATGTCGGAAGGGGTGCCGCCGCCTACTGAGAGAGTCACAACGGATTAATGCCATTTACAGCTGCCAGGCGACGTTTACGGGCGCGGCTAGGCGGTGTCATTAATGTCGGCGGGGCGCACTCGAAGGCTTGACCGGCGCTTCGAATGGGGAGGCAGCAGTCATCGGGCGTGACGCCGCCTGAATTAGGCAGTCCCTGCACGGCGAGAGACGGGTGGGGCGAGGGTGCAGGCGGTGGCACGGGGTACGGCAGAGGATGAGAGACGGAGACGGATGTGGTGAGGGTGAAAGCGGTGACATGGGGGACCAAAGAGTACAGAAGATGAAGACGTAGACTGCGTGCGAGAGGTAATACGGGTGTATGAGGTGGGAAAGATTGAGACACGTCAGAGGAGAGGTTTGAGACAGGGAGCGCGTATGGTTGAAAGCGAGACAGATCTGAAAGCTTAGCGGTAGCATATTGCGGCGAAGACAACAGATCGGGTAGGAAAGAAAAAGGCTGCCAATGCAAGACATAGCAGCACAAAAGGTAGAGAGGGCGGTACCCGTGGGAGGGAATAACACTGGATACAGAAGACAACACAATGGAATATAGATTTGTAGACGGAAAAGGGACAGGGGATGGCGATAGCCGTCGGGGAAACGCCTTATGGCGCCAGGGGACGGCGGCAAAAACGTGAGGGAGGATGGTAGACGGAGGCAGGGAGGAACAGGGGCCGAGAGAGCAACAACGGCAGGGAAAAAAACTATAGACGGGGCGGGCAGTACATAATGTGCAGGGCGGTAGCAAAAGCGAGAGAGGACGGCGAAAGCGAGGAGGAAGTGCAAAGAGATGGTTGGCAGTACGAGCGGAAGATATATCGACAGAGAGCATGACACCAAACATTTACAGAGATGGTACCCCTGGCACCAGAGGTGACTACACAGACCAGTTGTCATCGTATGCGTGCCCAGCAGGCCCTCCAAGCACGCAGTCCTGCCGGGAACCCCACGCCACGTACCGCCCAGTGCCGCACGGTACCGGCGACGCAGTCCTGCAGGGAACCCCTCGCCACGTACCGCCCAGTGCCGCACGGTACCGGCGACGCAGTCCTGCAGGGAACCCCTCGCCACGTACCGCCCAGTGCCGCACACGGTACCGGCGACGCAGTCCTGCCGGGAACCCCTCGCCACGTACCGCCCAGTGCCGCCCGGTACCGGCGATTCATCTCTGTCCCCACTTCTCTGCGCCTCCTCCCACCTTTCCCCATTCGGCGCGCTGGTCGCGGGCCCCTCCCTTCACCCCTCCGCGCCTCCTCTCACTTCCGACTCCCGGTGCGCCAGCCGTGGACCCCTCTTTTCAACCCTCCGCGCCTCCTCCCACCCCCCACCTCCCGGCGCGCCGGCCGCGGACCCCTCTTCTCACCCCTCCGCGCCCCCTCCCACCCCCACCTCCC